CTGATAAGAGCACCTGCCACGGAGTTGCTGGGAGGCTTAAATGAACCAAGGCACTACAAGTGTTTCAAATGGGGCCTGGTGAGTGCTCGAGAAACGTGGACTGCCATCAACAGTTAACTGCTGAGCTAGAGGAGAAAAGATTCAGTCCCTTTCAAGCTTTCCTTAGGTGGATTCCAACTAATTGGAGCCTCCCGGATGTGGTTTCAGGTTATAATGCCTCATTTAGGTTTCTGGGCACCTGGACGGTCAGCGTGATTTTCCCAGGTGACATTGAGCACATTATCTGGAGAACAAAACGCCTTTCAAGGTCAGAAACGTCTGGAAAGTCATAGGGGCAGCCAGAGAGAGGCAAAATCATGGGCCTCAGTTGGCTCTAGGCTCCCCAGCTTCCTGGCTGGAATTACACCCCTCAGGATCCTGCCAAACCCCCAGGAGAGGCTGATTTTGGTGTAAGAATAAAAAAAAAAAATCCATCCTCAACCACTTGGGGCTGCATTTCACCTGTTGACTAGCAGCCACTAGGTTTTTCTAATCCTTGGAATAAAAAGTCTGCATTATAAACCTGACCTCCCTCCTGGGGCTTGTCTCTGCACCCCCGTAAGACATACATATGCATTCTATCGCCTTGAACCTTCTCAATAAACTCCAGCCCCTTACCCAAGGAGGTAAGGAGACTTCCTGAAGATCACAGTGTTGGGAAGGGGAAGATATGATCCATCTGCATCTTTCTACATCACTCTGCTCAAGGATTAAGCCCAATGCCCGCTCTCCTCTGGGATGTCCAGTCTGCTTTCACAGGTGGAGAAACTGAGGCCCAGAGCAATGGAGCGACTTGTCCCAGGTCACACAGCTTGGAAGTGGTAGAGTGAATGGCCAGCTTCCCAAGACTCCTGCCATGTTTAAAGTGCTAAGCCAGACTTAGAGTCCCAAAGTGAAGTCCAAGGTTGAAAAGCACTGGCCCTGGGAAGTCTGTGTGGGTGCCCTTGGCTTGGTTGGCAGCTCAGCCCCTTTTGACCCTGGGTGCCCGTGAGCTGGCTCAGCCTTCCTAGGCCTCACTTCTGGTCACCAACGGCAGTGCTGGCTATCAGCTAACCGCCTTCCCCCTTGGCCTCCTGGTCCAGCCACCTCTATTATTACGTAGATACGACTGGGCTTTAAATTAACTCAGTTTTTCATTAAAATACATTTCACTTTTTTTTTAAAGGATTTAATTTATTTATTCATAGAGACACAGACAGAGAGAGGCAGAGACATAAGCAGAGGGAGAAGCAGGCTCCCTGCAGGGAGCCCGATGCGGGACTCGATCCCAGGACCCCAGGATCATGACTTGGGCCGAAGGCAGGCGCTAAACCGCTGTATTGGCATCCCAATACATTTCACTTCTAATTGGACGACCAGCATCACAACAAAACATAGAACAAAACCACAATAAATATAAGGAAACTAAAAAAATAAAAATAAATGAATGAATGAATGAATGAATGAATGAAACTCCAGCCACATTCCCGAATTCTCACTTGACTTTGTTGCTTGTTCAAGACTCCCCATCATTTTTAAAAGGGGGAGGTTGGAGGTGCCCGCGTGGCTCAGTTGGCTGAGCATCTGACCCCTGGTTTCAACTCAGGTCATGATCTCAGGGTCGTGATTTCAGGGTCACGAGATCGAACCCCATATGGGGCTCTGCACTCAGTGGGGAGTCTGCTTGGGGTTCCCTCTCTCCCTCTCCCCCTCCCCTTGCTCACAAGAGTGCATGCTCTCTAAATAAAATCTTATAAAAATAAATAAATAAATAAATGAATGATAAATAAATAAATAAATAAATAAATAAATAAATAAATAAATAAATAAATAAATAAAGGAGAGGTTAACATGTTTGAAAGGTATTTAAGACTGATTACCTCAAACAGGCACTTTCTTCTTAACATAAAGAGAAGTAAATGAAGGAAAACTGAAAACTTAGTAACTTCGGCACTTTATGATGTTAGTGACATTTAAGGCAGGTGCAGGTGCCACCCTGAATATTCTCCAAGGACCATGTGAGGCACCATGGCATCCCACAACCTTCCTCTGGAAAACTGCAGCACAGTTATTCTATGGAAGCCCTTGCAGTGCTAGGCTAGCTCATAAACTGTGTTTGTGGATGAATGTGTCGGAGGAGCTGAGGGAGATGGAGGGAAGGGTAGGTATGCCCAATCCTCCCAGGAGGGGCAGAGGGGTCGCCGAGGGTGTCGTAGTCGGTGTCTGTGCTCAATGGTTGAAGCAGGGTATTGCCTTCCCCTTGGAGGGGTTTGTGCCCCCCTCACCTCACCATCCCTGCCCTCGTGGGCAATTCCCAGCTCTCCCTCCATCATGGACACCCTTCCCTTCCTTCCCTGTTTTCCCCCACCACCTGCCCCCTCCCTCTTTGAGAGCAAGCCAAGGGGACCGACACTAGGGAACAGGAGTTGGAGGGATGTCATCAGGGAAGGAGAAGGTGTCTCTGCTTATCAGTCTGGGGACTAGAGTCTTGGTGCAGATTTCAGTTTTCTCCAGATTTGCCAGGAGATCTCGGGCAAGTCACATGAGCAATATGGGTCTCCATTTTTTTTTTTATCTCTTTGAAGTATCTGCTAATCCCCTCTGGGATGAGCAACAAGACAAAAGCTATGGATAATACTCATACTACTGCAAAAGTCACTGCCACCACAGGATCGCCATCACATTAGCATCACCGGCACCACCAGCATCATCACGACCATTTATTGAGGACCTCCTGGGTGCAGGCACTCCACAAAGTACCTTCTATACGTTTTCTCATTTAATCTTCCCAACACCCGCTGAGATAAGTACTAGACTCAAGCTTGTTTTACAGATGAAGGATTGGAGGCCCAGAGAGGGTAAGTGCCTGGCCCAAGGTCACACAGCCAATAAATATGAGAGCCAGAAATTGAACCCCCCTCACTTCTCCAAGGAGCCACCCAGATCAGTGCCTGGCCCACAGCAGGGAGACGATGCACACTATGTGCATAACTATTACGCTGAGGCTCTCCAGAAGGACAGCGGCCGACTCATGAGGTCTTGGCAAGCATCTCTGGCTCACCCCTACTAACTGTGTCCTTGGGTCGAGTGGCCCACATCTCTCTGAGCTTCAGTGTCCTCCATTGTCAAAGATGAGGTCATAGCACCCACCCGCACCTCGAAGACACACAGGCCACACAAGTGGGCTCCCCTCCAGTCAACAAAGACAAGCTCATTGCAGCCCTCTGGGCTTGTGGTCGGAGAGTCAAGAAGCATAGGAGCTGTATGATGTGTATTAATTGCCTGGCACGGTGTGTGGATGGCACCCCCCACCCAACTCACCCACCTGCACTGCTGCCTGAGTCAGTCTGGGGGCATCTATTCCCCTCTCTGGGCCTCTCCTTTGCCATCTGTAAAGTGGGAGGAGACTGAGATGAATGGGCACGCAGGCCCACAGGTACCATCAGCTTGGAGGCAGCCATCCAGGGATTCTCACTCAGAGGAAACAGACATGCCATCTGAGATAGCAAGTGTGTTCCAAAGTGTACACCCCCCAAAGTTCTGGCACAAGTCTGCACATGCAGATGTTCATGGCACAGCTGCCTGTGGCAAAGGGCTGGAGCTGGCGAGATGCAGAGGGAATGGCATGCAGCAGGTGGAGGCAGCGGTTGGAGGCAATGGTGTAGCAGTTCCGGTCAGGGCCGGCTCCGTCTCCCTCCACGGCATCATGTCTCCACACAGCAGTGGGCTTCCACCTGCTACATTTGCCATTTGCGCACCCACCCCCCAACACACACACACACACACACACACACACACACACACACAGGCACACAGTGCTGTCACCCAGTGCTGGGGGCAGCCCTCAACCAATAGCTGGCAGGAATTGGTATGTAAAGACCACACCTCCCTCCACCCTGGGGAGTGGTAACTCTAAGGTGCCAGGTGTACCCCATCTCTCAGAACCTCCCTTGGGACAGGGTGGCTTCATAACACATTTAACTGGCTTCATTCGTTCTCAGCCCATCCCACTTCCTCCTCCACGGGACCACCACCCAAGTAAACTGCCTTGCACCCAAACCCTTGTCTTAGGGTCTGCCACTGGGAAGCACAAAGTTAAATAGAATAGGTATATACATAGCAATGTGGATCAACCCTAAAAACATTACGCCTGGTGCCCAAAATAGGAAGCAAAATGCAACATATGAAATAATGTTATTTACATAAATGAGAAATACACATATGCTGAAGGATACCCATTTTGCAACAATACCTCCAAACATGGGATCCCTGGGTGGCGCAGTGGTTTAGCGCCTGCCTTTGGCCCAGGGCGCGATCCTGGAGACCCGGGATCGAATCCCAAGTCAGGCTCCCGGTGCATGGAGCCTGCTTTGCTTCTCCCTCTGCCTATGTCTCTGCCTCTCTCTCTCTCTCTCTGTGTGTGTGACTATCATAAATAAAAAAAAAAATTAAAAAAAAAAGAATACCTCCAAACAAAAAGATACAATTAAATAATTACAGTGGTCAGTGATTGGCAGGAGTGGGCTAACAGGCAGGCAGGGTGGCTGCTGGAAACAGAGCATCTGTGTGTGATTTTTAAAAAGAAGCAGCTCATCCACTGCAAGTCTTGATGGGGGGGAGGAGAAGGAAAGGAAGGGACGGAGGGAGGGACAGAGGGAGGGAGGGAGGGAGGGAGGGAGGGAGGAAGGAAGGAAGGAAGGAAGGAAGGAAGGAAGGAAGGAAGGAAGGAAGGAAGGAAGGAAACAAACCTGAGAGGAGCCTTGCCTGGACCGGTGATGACAATGTCCCAGGCAGAGTGGGAGTGTTCAAATTCCCTTTAAGCACTAACATACATACATACATACATACATACATACATACATACATACATTTATTTATTTATTTAACTAACATTTATTCTAAGGTCTGGGGTTATCCTACTTTCAGAACTTGTTAGGGAAAAGCCCCACCCTCTCCCCAGATAGCAACACCTCCCGTTGCATTGCCAGGCTGAAAGGAGGCTGGGGACCTGGCGTCTGAACACAGGACCAGGTTTCTGGCTGGAGAACACCTGCATAGCTCCTGTCTCTCTCATTCCCAGCAGCCTCCACCACTAATCTAGCCTGTTGACGGCTAGGTCATCGAAGCTCCCTGATGGTGGGTAGCGTGTGGGCAGCCCTGGGACTTTCCCTAGCCTGCATCTCGGCCCTTGGCCTCATCTCTCCTGCGTGGTTCCAGTCCCACACCTTCTCCTTTGGCGTCCTCACCTACTGCTCCTGGCCTCAGGGTGACAGCTGGAACCAGAGCTGTGGGACCTTCAGGTCCCTGGATGATATTCCTGACTTTGCTTGGAAGGTAAGACCTGGGTAGGGCCTTGGGGCCATGATCAAATCCACCAGAGGCCGGGGGGTGGGGAGAGGGAGGGGAGTCATGTTCTGGTCCCTATCGCCTATCCCACATTGAGCCTCTGACTCTGTAGGTGTGTAGTGGAGTCTGGCTATCTGCGTTTTAGCAAACACCCAGATGACTCTGAAGGCAGCTCCAAGTCCATAGAGTACCTTACTACAAATTAAGAAAATGTTCCCCTTCTTCAGCACACTATACTGCCATCTGCTGGAAAACACCTGTAACCAATATGCAAATCTATGACGATTCGAATGCATCTCCAAGAGTTGGGCAGTGTACAATCTGCACACACCAACCTGGCCATCCTCTAAGTGCTGCTAAGTTTGAAAACCACAGCTAAGGTGTTGACAGTCTCTGTTGTGATGCACATTACCAAATTCAACAATGTGGACGATGGGTCAGGACTCCCAACCCAACACCTCTAGGGAAGATTATACAGGTTCTAAAACCGATAATTAAAAAGGTGCTTCTCCTGGTGATCCTGTCATATAGCAGGTACTCAGTAAAGGTGGGGTATGATGATTGTAAATCTGGGTCTTCATTCTGGCTTTACAACTTAATTAGCTGTGTGTCCTGAGACAAATGACTCCATTGCCTTGGACCTCAGCTTGTCTATACTTAAAATGGTGATAATAAATAGCACAGACCTCTTGGGGTTTTGAGGACTCAAGTAGCTGGCATAAACAAGTGACATACACCTGCCCCTACCTGCCCCACTCAATACCCTCCCTACTCTTTCTTCCTGACAGGTCTCAGCTGTAAGTCTCCTTGGAGGATGGCTCTTGTTGGCCTTCAATGCAGTTCTCCTCCTAGCTTGGGCCCTGGCCCCCAAAAGGCTGTGTCCCAGAAGGGGCAGTGGCCCAATGCCAGGGGTGCAGGCAGCTGCAGGTAAATCCACTGTCATACAGTAAGCATTCCAGACATGTTTGTGGATTAAATGAATAGATGAATGAATGAATGAACGAACAAATGAAATTGTGAGCAGAGTCTGGCTTCTTATATTGAATCTCAGAGATAAATCCTCAGATTAAAGACTTTCTGGTCCTTTAGCAAGCCAGAAAGGGTGGGGGAGGGAATGGCATACTTAACATCACCCTCTCCTGCCCTTAGCTAAATCCAGTCCAGTATAATGGTCTGTCTCCCTTTGTTTCTCTCTCATCCATCCACTTTGTATCATCTTTACCAGGACTACCATACACAGTTGAGCAAGTTGTGTACTGCACAAGGGGCCTCGTTGAGGGCTGAGAGATGCTGAAATCTAGCCAATGCTCCACTTGATGAGCTGTGAAATTGCAGGGCTGCAACTCCCCTGAAGGGTTGCTTTCCTCTATTCCCACTGAGGCTCTGGATGGTCTAGCTCAGAGCTTGTTTGCAACCCTCACCCAGTTAATCCCTCACCATCTCTTACCTGGATTAGAGTGATAACCACCTCACATTTCTCTCTGCTGCCTCCTTTGCCTCCTAGAGTCAGTCTGCCACGCTGGCCAAACAGGTCTTGTTAAAATTGAAATCAGATTGAGCCACTCAAACTGGTTTATCTACCGCTAGTGACTTCCTGTTACACTCAAGAGTAAAATCCACACTCCTCATCATGCCCTATGAAACCCTCACTCGCTTGCCAATCTCACCTCTTACTCTGCCAGGCTCAACATGCTTCAGCCACAAGGCCTGCTTTCTGTTCCCCATATATGCCACACTTGTCCACCCTGCCTGGGATTCTCTTTTCTCAGATCTTACATGTCTTGCTCCTCTATGTTATTCAAATGTCACTGCCTCGGTGGGATTTCCATGACCTCTAGGTAAGCGCCCCCCTCTCCTGAGATTCTCCTGCCTCTTCTTTGCTCTGTATTTTTCACGGCACTTACTTACCTGTTCATCTATCCCCACTACAACATGAGCTCCTTGAGGGCAAGGACATGTCTGCCTTGACATTACCAGCACCTGGCATGGGGCTTCACACATAATAGATACTCACTAAATATTTGTATAATCAATGGATGGAGCTATAGTTCTTGTCCTCCTAGGCTTGTGCAGTGTCTGGTGGGGATGGGTGAATCAGGCAATTACAACTCAATGGATATTTGATGAGATAGGGATGAGTGCAAGATGCAAGGAAAAACTCCAAGAAGGTGGAGGATGTTAAGGAAGGGTTCTGGAGGAGGTATCACTTGAGCTGAGGCTGGAAGTGCGAGTGGGAATTGACTAAATATAGAAGGGAACTTCAGGTAATAGGAACACTGGGGGCCAAAGCATAGAGATGAGTCGGGAAGACATGTTCATGGAACTGTAAGTAGACCATTGTGGCTAAAGAGCAGCAAGAAAAACTAGGGTCATGTGATTCTCCTGTACTGAGAGTGCCTTGAAAGTGAGGAGGTTTATAGTTTTTTTCCTTAGTATCATTAGTGCCTACCACAGCACCTGCAACAGATTTGATGAATGAATGCATGCACAGATGTAGGTAGGTGGGTACTGATGGATGGATATATGGCTATATTAGTGGGTAAGAGATGGTTGGTTGGATGGATGGATGGATGGATGGATGGATGGATGGATGGTTTAGTAGATGGATGATTGGTTGAGTAGGTGGATGGATGGTGGATGGATGGATGGATGGGTGGGTAGATGGATAGTTGAGCAGGGTACAGGTGTCTAAGTGGGCAGATGGGTAGATGGATAAGTGAATGGATAGGTGGATAGAGGGATGAAGAGATGAGAGGATAAGAATATGACTGAATGGATGGGTGAGTAGATGGATAGATGGTTGAGTGTATAGATGGATGGGTGGTTTAGTGGGTGGATGAATGTATGGTTGACTAGATAGATGGGTGGGTGTGGATGGATGGATGGTTGGTCAAGTAGGTGGATGGATGGGTGGGTGGATGGATGGATAGTTGGGCAGGATGCAGGTGGCTAAGTGGGCAGATGGGTAGATGGATGGATAAATGAATGGATAGGTGGATAGAGGGATGAGGGGATTAGAATATGGTTGCATGGATGGGTGAGTAGATTGAGAGCTGTGTGGAAGACTAATTGAGTAATGGGTAAGATAAAAGGATAGATAAGTCAATATATAAGTGAATAGATTGATGGATGTGTGGGTAGATAGGGGGGTGGATCAGTGAGTCCTGAGATGGAAGTTAGCCCCAAACCCCTTGACTAATACACTGGTGTTTCTTCCTGTTGTCTCCAGCCACTGTCACCATTGTGGGTCTGCTGGTTTTCCCCATCAGCCTGGCCTCTCCATTTGCCAAGGGAGCCTGTGGAGCCTCCTCTGTGTACCACGGTGGGCAGTGCCAGCTGAGCTGGGGCTATGTGATTGCCATCCTCAGTGCAGTCCTGGCCAGCTTCCTGCCTATGATTGGGTGGCCCCACATGACCAAGGTCCACAGGAGGATCATCCTCTTCTCTGGTGACACTGAGAAAATCATCCTCATGCCAGAAATGAGCATATAAAAATTTCCCAGGAGGAGCAAAAATAGCCAACTTTAGAGTTGTATGAAATCACTACAAATCCACATTCAAACCTCACCTCTGCTGCCTCTCTGCTGTGTCACCTCAGGCAAATCACTTCACCTCTCTGGACTCCCATGTATTCTGTAAAATGGTGGTCTACCTCAAAGGGCTGTTACCAGAATTAACTTGAGATGCTGTGTATAAATAAAGCCCTTAGTACCATGTAGGTCCACTGTATTCAAAGAATTTCAGCTTATTATTATTATAATCCCTACCTCACAAGACTCCTCAAAAGGAGAATGCCCAGGACAGGGGTGCCCAGCCAGCTCAGTTAGTGGAACAGGTGACTCTTGATCTCCGGGTTGTGAGTTTAAGCCCCTTGTTGGATGTAGAGTTTATTTAAAGAAATAAAAGAGTACCTGGGACAATTCTGAGTCCAACCTGTCCCTCTAATACTGCATTGTTCAATAGACATGTGCACGTTCTCTTTTGTACCCCTCCATCTTTCTAACTCCTTTTTTCTTGGAGAATTTGAGAATTATTTATTTTCCAATCAAATATTCAGTGAGTGCCCCATATGTACAAGAAGAGTTTGTATAAAAGTGTGGGGTGGTGTTGGGGTGGGGATGGGGGGACCTGTCTCATCTCTCCATGCAAACAGTCCCACTGATGTGGGGATTTCACTGTTACTTGGGGCACAAGAGGCCCTTCTAGATCCCATCTCTCTTCAGCCTCTTTCTTGTCACACACCCAACCCCTGTGCCTCTTCTACTATACTAAATCCTGGGCCCAGGGAAGGCCTCTTCACACTTCCACCTCATGTACACACTCTCTTTGCCAGGGATGCTGAGTCAATCTACTGCTTTAGCTTATCACAACCCACTGCCCTTCTTTGGGAGCAGCACCTTAATCTTCCCTTGGGAGATAACACTCAGCAAATTCTCTGACTATCCTGTATTATGGATAAATGAGTTCTTCCATCCAATAAAGCCAGGTTGGAGAGACTGATTCAGAGATGGGCATGGAACCGGTGTATGCCAGCATGGAGGAGAGCAGAACCCTGACATGGACAGAGGTGGAGCTCTAAGGACATCATCTGAACACCTGGATCCAGCCATGCCTGCTCCCCTACTCACAGGAGACATGGTCACAGGCAGCTCCAGGCTGCCATCCTTCTAGCTTGGCCACTGCAGAAGAAAAGGGTAAATGGCTCTGTTCCCAGAGAAGGAATCTGATTGGCCATGACAGAGTCATGTGCCCCCTAGGGGGAGGGGCATATCAGCAGTCTCACAGAAGACCATGGTTGTAATGCAGAAGATGGGAGAAGGTGCTGGTACTGAACCAAGGGAAGGATGCTGGGTAGGCAAAAACATCTGATGCCCAGCCTCCTTTTGAAGGGTAGCTTTATTATCCCCAGTTCATAGATGTGAAAACTGAGGCTCAGAGAGGTACAGTCACTTGCCTAAGTCTGCACAGTTGACTAGGATTTGAACCCAGGTCTGTCAGACTCTATGGTGGGGGCAAAGTAAAACCAGGATTTGCACCCTCTGCCCGACCTAGCTTATCTTTGTCAAACTCTTTTGGCTTTTATTTTTATTTTTTAAATTTTTAAAAAGATTTTATTTATTCATGAGAGAGAAAGAAAAAGAGAGAGAGAGAGAGAGAGAGGCAGAGACACAGGCAGAGGGAGAACCAGGCTCCATACAGGGAGCCTGATGTGGGACTCAATCCCGGGACTGGCAAGATCATGCCCTGGGCCGAAGGCAGCGCTAAACCACTGCACCATCCAGGGATCCCTCTCTTTTGGCTTTTAAATGCTCAACCAAGGGATGCCTGGGTGGCTCAGCAGTTGAGCATCTGCCTTCGGCTCGGGGCGTGATCCCAAGATCCAGAGTCGAGTCCTGCATTGGGCTCCCTTCAGGGAGCCTGCTTCCCCTCTGCCTGTCTCTGCCTCTCTCTGTGTGTCTCTTATGAGTAAATAAAATAAAAATCTTTTAAATAAATAAATAAATGCTCAACCAAGAACATCCATAAGCAATCCCCCAAATGGCTCCATTATCTTGAAAACACACAGACTGCAGAGAATGCAGCTTGCATTCCTCTTCCAGAAAGAACAATCAAGACAACTTGACAGCTTTTTAAGAAAAAAGCAATAGAGGGGCTCCTGGGTGGCTCAGTTGATTAAGCGTCTTGACTCTTGATTTTGGCTCAGGTCATGATCCCAGAGTTCTGGGGTTGAGCCCCACGCTCTGTCATGTTCCATGCTCACCAGGGACTCGGCTTGAGGATTCTCTCTCTCCCTCTGCTCCTCCCCTTGCTTGCATACACACACTCTCTCTCTAAAATAAATAATCTTAAAAAAAGAAAAAAGAAAAGGAATAGAATAATGGAATAAATAGAAATCCTAGGAAGCCATCACACGGTGCTCAAAAGGACCCAGAGGCAATGTTTTGATATCAGCAGGAACACTTCCATGCAAGTCAGTCTCCCTTGTGAGACCCCCTCGAGACCCAAGCAGCATCCCAGTGCAAAAAGCAGCAAGTGGATGCCACTGAGTAAAAGCCCAAAATCAGCCCCCAGCCCCTGACACCCACATGTCCTCTGTAATAACCTCTCCCAAGTCCCTTAATTTTCCCTTTGAACTGTTTCAGCAATGCCAAAGGGAGCCGGTTCTCTAGCCCTTAATGCAGAACAATTTACAGGGAGACTCCATCTTTATTGGAGGCAACGGGATTGGTCAGTCTTATTTTCTCTTGATCACAGCAAGGGGCGTCCGCTGTTTCAAGAAGCCCTGTGTCTACAAAGGCTGGAAATCACTCTTAACAAAGGAAGCCAAGAAGATACCAGAGAATTCCTGTACAACATCCAATATAATGGAAAATCCCCAGGGAACTGCATGGTCCCGTGGGTCATTTGAATTCTGCTAAGGTTTGATTTAGCCAACAGGCAAGCTGGCACTCCAAAAAGATCAAATTGTGCTCCTCTCCTCTCTACCTGTACTCCACTCATGCTCTCAGGGTACCTGGTGGCTTAAAAGCCAAAAGCGGAGAGACCTGTAAGCTTTTTCCTGCCTCAGCAGAATCAGATGCGAACTGCAGCTGCAGCGTCAGCGTGGGCTTTGCTCCTGCCAAGAACTGATGGCCTCACCACACCTAACTGCTGTGCTCCTTGGTCACAGCCCAGGAGGGCTGGGGGCTCATCCACTCCTGAGCTCTCCTCCAGGAGCCATATTCTCTTAGGTTTCAAAGACTCACCTGAGAAGAGAACCTGAGATAGGTAGATGCTGGAAATTCAGGGACACCGAAGTCTCAACCAGGAAACCATCCCCCAGAGATGCTGAGGAATAAAGGGTCCCAGTGAATGAAGGGAGTCAGGCCTGCATCTAGAATACTGGGAGGCATTATCTCCAGTTCACAGAAGTGAAAACAAAGGCTCAGAGAGGTACAGTTCTTTGCTCAAGGCCACACAGCTAGGAAGTGGCAGATCGGGGATCCGAAATCATCACTCCCCAAACATGTGGACAGAGATATGGTACAGGATTTTAGTCGGCATGGTGAGAAAGCCATTCCTGCTTCAATCGTCTTTTATGTCCACGAGAAAGAGAGGCTCATTTGGTGCCAGCATGTCTTTCACACCCTTTCTCAAACTCTTGCTACATCTCTTTTCAACAAAGAGAGCAGGATTTAGGTTCAAAGCCTTTTTGGGTGGCAAATAGTATTGTGGGAAAATAATCATATTTATTGTTACAATTATCTTCTGTTTATGTAAATGATACTGGCTTCCCATAGTCAGAAATCTAAAAACTGAGTTGGTTTAAAGAAAACTAGTTTCGTTTCCCGGTCAGGGAACCAAAAAAAAAAAAAAAAAAACTAGTAAAGATCCAATCATGCAGGTGGTGCACAGACATGGTCAGAATCAGAAAGGTGGGCTGCAGGTGACCTGAGCTGAAAATGCTATTGCAAAATGTGGGAGAAGGGGCACCTGGGTGGGTCAGTTGGTTAAGCATCTGCGTTGGGTTCAGGTCATGATCTCAGGGTCCTAGGATCAAGCCCAGGTCAGGCTCCCTGCTTAGTGGGGAGTCTGCTTCTCCCTCTGCCCCTCCCTCTGCTTGTGTTCTCATTCTCTCTCTCAAATAAATAAATAATCTTTTTTTTTTTTTTAGAGTGTGGGAGAAAAAAATAAAAATAAAAAAAATAAAAAATAAAAAGTGTGGGAGAAAACTCAGTGGTTGATGGGTCTGATGTCCTCCAGACTTAAGAGTGGAAATTCAAAGAGCTTCTTCCCACTGTCCTTGACCACACCACCTCAGGGCTCCTGGGACCTCAGACCTGGGAGGGGAGGTGGGGGAGGGGGAGAAGGAAAAGGACACCAGATGCAGAAATGCCTCCCGGGCATCCTAAAATGGGATGGTCAGGGCCCCCCAAGCTCTTTGCACAGAGAAGTGCTTCTCAATAGCCTTGGGGCCTCCCCTGTAAGCCAAAGGAGAAACTCTCCATGAAAAGCCAATGAAGCGTGGCTGGAACACGGCATTAAGGAACAGCAAAACAGCCCAAAGGGCCTTCACCCTGGGGGCTTGTTCTGAGCAACAGGATCATCTAGTAGAAACTGTGGGCAAGACACTATCCAAATGCTCTTAGCTCCAAGGAAATGAGGCAGAAGGAGAGAGGGGAATCTGGGGATGGGGCGGGGGAGGGGTGCTGGGGGGGGAAGAGAAGAGAAAGAAGCAAGAAGGGTTAGGAGAAGGAAGAAGATGGCAGGAGTCCAGCCACAACTCTGTGTTCTATAAACAAAGAAACAAAGACCACTTCTCCATCCCAACCACTGAGTCATCCTAGTAATCCAAGACTTAGCTTTTCATATCTATGCTCAAATGCACACACTTAGGAAAACCTTCACAACAAAAATATTCTCTTAAGATTTCTTTTCCTATAACATACATCAATGGCCGTAGGTCAACAGTGCCTGTAACCAGGCATCTGTGCACGCATAACCAGTGGGCTGGCACTGCCTGGGCCTGGTGGTGGCAGGCAGCTAGCTTCAAGCAATAGTGGAGGTGCTCCAAGAGGACAGCCACATGTACCAAGCTCTGGCTGGAGTTGGGGAAATGAGACAGGGCAGGTCTCTAAAGCATGGTCAGCACATCAGGACCCGTCTTTGCTCTCGAAACAGCCCCCAGGAAGGAGCAGATCTTCCGCTAAGAAAGCCCCTGTCTGGGTTGGCCAAAGACACATCCCCACCTGCCTGCTGCTGTGTGGCTTCAGACTTATCGCTACTGGCAGTCTTCTAAGAACATTCTTTTTTTTTTTTAATTTTTTATTTATTTGTGATAGTCACAGAAAGAGAGAGAGGGGCAGAGACACAGGCAGAGGGAGAAGCAGGCTCCATGTACCGGGAGCCCGACGTGGGATTCAATCCCGGGTCTCCAGGATCGCGCCCTGGGTCAAAGGCAGGCGCCAAACCGCTGCGCCACCCAGGGATCCCTTCTAAGAACATTCTGACTAGGCTCACCCAGGCTGCCAATGCTACCTGCAAACTCTGCCCCTACTTTGCTGGCTTATTTGGAAATCTAACTTTTTCTTTTCTTTTCTTTTCTTTTCTTTTCTTTTCTTTTCTTTCTTTTCTTTCTTTCTTTCTTTCTTTCTTTCTTTCTTTCTTTCTTTCTTTCTTAAAAAGATTTTATTTACTTATTCATGAGAGACACAGAGAGAGGCAGAGATACAGGCAGAGGGAGAAGCAGGCTCCCTGTGGGGAGCCCCATGAGGGACTCCATCCCAGGACCCGGGATCACACCCTGAGCCAAAGGCAGATGTTCAACCACTGAGCCACCCAGGAGCCCTGGAAATCTAACTTTTTCTATATAAAACCTGAAGTTTTCATGGGTGCTCATTAGATTAAATCAAGTTTTGCTTCTGCAGCTGAAAGTTAGTTGCTTCCCTTGGCCCATGTTTAGTGGCTGCTAGGGGTGGACACCCACGAGAGGTCCCCGTTGCTTGATGACTAGGGTTCTGAATGGTAGCCACAAGCAGGAACTTGTGGGTGTCAAGGGGGATAAGCTGGTGGTCCATGGGAACATCAGGGGTGAGAGATAAGCTCCCTCTGTAGGTGCCAACTTGAAGGTATGACCCCGAGGCAAATGGCTGACCATCTGGGGACCCCTCTTGGGGCATCAGGTAGACTGCAAAAATGGCCTCAAATATTTCTGTGCCTGTATCCATACTCCTTTTTCATGTCTCTTTGCAAAGCCACCCACCAAATGGGAATTGATCCCCCCCCACCCTTTTGAATCTGTATTCAGACACGTGACTTACTCTGAGCAACAGAATGTAGCAGAAAGGACCTCAGACCAATTCCAAGCCTAGGTCTCAAAAGGCCTTGCACACTTCTCCTTGCTGTCTTGAAAAGTGCCACCATGGCCACATAAACGAGCCTGAGCTGGGCTGCCAGGGGATGAGAGACACTTGGCCCACTTTCCCCGCCAACAGTCAAGCACCTGTCAGAAGCAGAGTCACCTCGTTGGCCAACAGCTGACTACAGACACATGAAGAAGTCCACCACAGACCAGGAGACCCTTCCAGCCCATGCTGTCCCAGAGAATCATAAGCTAAGTAAATGGCAGTGTGAGGCCACTAAGTTGTGGGGTGGTTTGTCATGCAGCATGACTCATGCTGATAGCTAACTGACACGAGGGAGTGAGAAGTATTTCATTTGCCTTAAACCTCCTGGGGAAAGACCAGGCAGCTATAATGAGACTTTGTCCCCCTCTGGGTCTAGGTCACTGGGGTGGGGTTGGGAGGACACAGTCTTTAAAACCAAATACTTCCTTCCTTCATATTAAAAAAATTCCCGAAATGTGGAAATGAAAAATAACCCATATTCACACATTTCTCTGTTTATATATTTTTTCTCCATATATAGACACAACTCTTCAGTAAACAGTTACAAGATATGTTGGCAACACTGAGAAAAGGAGGAGGGCATTCCACAGACAGAACGACTCCCACACACTCGATTCCAGGACACAAGGACGCACGCAATATATGGGGACCAAAATAAGCACAATTAAGCTGAATAAATAGGAATTGTTCCAAATCACAACCATGGACACTTCTCTGGAACACCATGAGAGAGAAGGCAGAGAAGGGATTGTGTGCTGTACTTTGTGACTACTCTGTCGAAAAAATAAATAAGAATCAGAAGGTCTACGACCCGGATCTTGCTAGAATAATGTCCTCTGTAAGGAATAGCAGAGCAGCTGGGTAAATTTAGATCTGGAGGGGTCTTTCGCACATTTTCCCCCCATCTTGGGAAGGTGACGGACCACAGCGAGGAGATACAACTGTCACAGAGCACACTCCTTGGAGGCAAGGGTCATTTAGGTCCGTCCTGCTCAAGAGGCCCCATGTCAGGGACTAGGAGGGTTGGATGCAGCAAAGGCACTAGGGCCAAGGGAAGAGCCCTCACAAGCCCACAGGCAGGGATTCCTCTCCCTCCTGGTTTGCTCAGGACTGAGGACTAATGGATCCTTTCTATGAACACTGTGATGTGCTTTGAGTCTCCAACCTTGCCAAAACCCTACCTGCCATGCTGGGGATGAGCATTCCAATCTGACTCTGTTTCTCTCGATTCCTGTGTATTCTTCAGAAGAGAATTGGCAGGATTGCTCTATCAGAAGGACACTCTAGAAGTGGCCTTTACCAACACACACCTTCCAAGCTTCTGGAGCACCAGCCTCAATGTGCAGAAGGAGAGGTGAGGTCTTCCCTAGGAGCCAAAGAAGGGGACGTGCGCTCTGCCCGGCCTGGGGTGGGGGGTGCCTGGGCAGGACCAAGAGGGGCCTCAAGCTGTCTCACACCTATAGACATTTCCCATGCTCCATTGCCCTTCCAAGGGGAGGCCTCTCTTGAAAAGAAGAAAAGAAATCTCTCCTGGGGTCAGGTGGAGGAGAAAAAAATGAGAGAATACAACAAATGGAGTCTAGACCCCAAGAGGGATGTGGACTCCCTTGTGCCTTTTCTGAACAGGAGGAAGTCTTAGGACATAGGCAGTAAAGAAAAAGTGGGGAGAGAGATATATTTGTAGCCCCGCCTCTATGCTAGTGGTTCTCAAATGGGGATATTTGGCAATATCTGGCAATGTTTTGGGTTGTCTCAACTGGGTTGGGAGGGGGTGTTACTGGCATCTGGCGGGTAGAGGCCAGGTATGCTGCTCAACATCCTACAACACATAGCCCCTCTCAAATAAGAATTACCCAGACCAAATGTCAATGGTACCAGGGTGCAGAAACTGCCCCAAGCCAGCCTTCCAGCCATGTTCTGGAACATCTCCAAACGCCCTTCTCAGAGTACAGAGGTAAGCCCCACAGGCCTCTCCTACACCAATCCCCCTCCCAGAAAACCTCCCTCCCCTAAGTCTCAGCTGACAAAACAGTTTGGAGGGATTGGGACAGAACAAGAGAGAGGCAACCATTCTGGAGGCGACTCATGAAAATGTTCCCTCCATCCACTGACACACCCCAATTCCAACAAGGGAGAAATCCCAGACTTGGACAATCTTTGGTCAAACAGGAAAACGTATGGTCAAACAGGAAAACGTAAGGCTGAACCAAAGGGGCAACCCCCTGACCCCACCTGCCTGGTGGCCAAAGTTGGGGTAGTTTCTCTTTGCACTGAAGTCCATGCTCATGAACAGACACCAGGACCTCGCTCCCGGGGTGGCCGGGAGGAAAAGCAGGATGGACGGGTGGGTGGTGGCTCGGTTGACATTGCCCGGGTGAGCAGGCCCTCACTTGTTCTCGATCAGTGTCTGCACCTTGTACACGAGGTCCCGGGCCAGCTTCAGGACGTGTTTGGTGTTGTGTCGCTCGGCCATTTCTGAAAGAGCAGAAGGCAAGATCTTATGAGCCTCCTGCTGTGTCCATCCGCAAGCCTCAGTCTCAGATTTGATAGGGGCAGGGGGGCTCTGGGGCATTCCCACCATCATCATCTGGCATCATCCCCAGAGCAGCGCTAGAAGCAGAGACTGTGGGGAAGTCCTGCCACTTTGGACCCTGGTCTCCTCATCTGGAAAATGGGGATGGCAACAGTATCTGTTTCACAAGGCTGCTGTGAGATCAAACAAGAGGATGTGGGTTCACCTACAAAAAGTTAGGTCTTCCCAGCCCCTTTATATAAATACCACGACCAGGGTGTGATCCTGGAGACCCGGGATCCAGTCCCACATCCGGCTCCTTGCATGGAGCCTGCTTCTCCCTCTGCCTCTCTCTCTCTCTCTCTCTCTCCCTCTGTGTGTATGTGTTTCTTATGAATAAATAAAATCTTTTTTTTTTTTTTTTAAAGAAAGCAATGCTGGGCACACAGCCAAATGTTAAAAGGTACTAAAGGATATGGAAGGGGAAAGGAGAAAGTAAAAGTAATTTTATTAAGAGCTACATAAAATGATTGCATCTTTTTTCTTAAGATTTATTCTTTTGAGAGAGACAGAGCACAAGCAGGGAGAGCAGGAGAGGGAGAGGCAGACTCCCCGCTGAGCACGGAGCCCAACTTGGGGCTCTATCCCAGGACCCTGAGATCATGACCTGAGCTGAAGGCAGACCCTTAACCGATTGAGCCTCCTAGGCACCCCTGATCAGATCTTTAAAGCATAATAATCCTAAACCAGATGTTTATCATAAAGAAATCATTTATTGGAGGAAAAATGCACTAAGACTATGATTCCCAAACTAGCTACCAAGGTACCCCAGGATGCCACTGGGAACTCAAGGAGATTGTGAAGGAGACAAAATAATATTCCACATCTGTCCAACACCCCACAAACCAGTATGGTGCCAGGGAGGTCACAAATTGCACTGCATTCCTATCAATCACTTTATATCTTTGCAATGCAAGGTTTTTCTGCAAGCAATTGAAAAACCAAGTTTGAGAAAAAAGCAAAAGCCACATGAAAATCACTGTGGAACAGGAAATAAGTGAAGGTGATGGTGTACAATCTGGTTCCAAGGTTTGGGAAGCTATACAAAGCCAACAGGTACATAATCCCATTAATCACTGTACTTATCTAAGAATGAAATAAAAATATTATTTTCTTTTGACTGTGGAAAAGATGAGATGGGAAAAAGTTTTTTCAATGAACCCGGTAAATGCCATGTGGTTTCTTGGGTTGGATGCTAGAGCAGAAAAAGGGCATCGCTTAAAAACCATGCAAAGGGTGCCTGGGTGGTTCTGTTGGTTACGCATCTGCCTTTGGCTCAGGTCATGATCTTGGGGTCCTGGGATCGAGTCCAGCATCCAGCTCCCTGCTCAATGGAGAGTCTGCTTCTTTCACTCCCTCTGCCCCTTTCCCTGCTTACGTCCTCTTCCTCTCTCTCCCAAATAATAAAAAGATCTTTAAAAAAAGGCAAAATCAAAGTCTGTAGTTTAGTTAAGAGTAATGTACCAATGTTTACTTCTTAGTCATGACAAATGTTCTAGGACCAGGTAACATAGAGACGTTAGGGGTGGCTGAGTGGAGGGTATCGAGAACTCTTTGTATTATCTCTGCAACTTCTCTCTAAATTTACACTTACTTCAAAATAAAAAGATTTTTTAAAAATAATGTTTCTGAGGTGCCTGGCAGGCTCAGTTGAGAGAGTGTGAGACTCTTGGAGTTGTGAGTTCCAGCCTCACGCTGGGTGTAGAGATTACTTAAAAAATAAAATCTTTAAAAAAAGGTCTCTGGGGTAAGGTCAAAGGCAGCTTTTCTTTTTCTTCTTTTGCTTTTTTCAAAATTATCTTTAGTTTTCTAAAATTTTAAATAGTGATAATAGTAGCAAGAACTTCCAGCTACAGGGCCCCTCCTATGAGCTGGGTGGGTATCACGTGTAGGCTTTATCCATGTTGTCTCATTTAATTGTTCCAATATCTCTGTGAGGGAGGTGTTAGTATCATTCTATCCCCAAGGAACCTGAAGCCCATAGACATGCAGTCACTTGCCCAAGGTCACATAGCTCTCAAGTGGCTGAGATCCGAATCCATACCTGTTTGACTTCAAAGGCTGTGCCTTTCTCACACCATTTCAAATGCCTCCTTGCAGCTGCTTTTGTGCATATCAGCCCTTCAAAGCAGACACTTTTACCCCATTTGACAGATGAGGAAGTGACACTTAGAGGAGGGGTGACTTATCCATGGGCACAGCTGGTTAGTGGCAGAGGCAGGTTTACCCCTGAGCCTCATTTCAACACCCATGCTCCTTCTGCTAGATTCCTGAGAAAAATTCATTCTCTGTGTTACAAGATGTCAGCTCATCCATTTGTAAATAGACACAAGAAGCAGATGGAACCTCTGTATATCCCCTTTACTATGTGTCAATCTCAACACATCTCCCACCTCTGAGGCCCCAGGACAGGGCCTGTCAGAAGCCCGCACCCCACCGATGACACTCTGGTCATGCAGGTACCGTTAAAGAATTTGATGATGTCCGTGAAATCCATATTGTTCTCCAAGATGATGTCACGGTAGACCTCAACCAGAGCCAGTGCAATGAACAGGACATAGTGGGCGGATGAGACGTGCTTCGCTGCCCAGATGGTCTCCCAGACAGAGAAGACGTCATCGTAGACGAGTTCTGCCAAGACACCCGACATGCACATGCGTGGGGAGAGGGTCAGCCACAGAGCTCACAGTGTTTCCCTCCCTCTGGGAAAATCCCAGGCCAGCTGTGCCCTGTACTTCTGCCCTCGTGCAGCAGACAACAGACAGAGCTCAGGTCAGGAGGTAGGAGGCCTGGACTTGCCATTTGACCGTCAGAAGCCTCAGTTTCCCCAACTGTCAGTGCAGACTAGCGGGGTTCTAAGTTTCCAGCTTCTGTAGGGGAGAAACTGAGCATGGTCAGCTTTAATTTACACTTACCTATCCCTGGTCTGCTCCTTGACCAGTGTCCCCCCTTCTCCCTGTACCTAACAACTCCTTCAGCACCCATGGGGGTATCCCCTGGCCTCTGCACACAGGCAGAGCTGGCGGCTGCCACTGGAGCTAGCCAAGAAACTAGAGAGAGCGGTGGTGGAGAGACGGCTTCCTGTACTCAATAAACTCAGTCCGAATCCAGTCCCACCGCTTACTGGCAAGGTGACCTTGGACTAGTTACTTCCCTGATACCAGCCTCTTCCTCTCCTCCTCTGTAAGCAGGGTGAGGCTTGAAGAGAAAGTACATAGAAATGGGTCAGCGCACTGCCTGGCATTTAGTAAACATCTCCCTGCAGGGTAGATACTCTTATCAGCATCACCCTCATTTTGCACAATACCAGTGTGCAGTGCTATACCCCATTTCTAAGTCACACGGGCACCATGCTGCACAGGACAAGGGGTGCCTTGCCTCTGATAAGCAGCATAACAGAACAGGTAGGAACTAACTGGACTTAGGAGGTGGACAGAGGTGGCCTAAGATCCTGTCTCTACTGGTTCTATCCCTGAATTGAATTCTTGGCCTAAATTTCCTCATCTGTAAAATAGGAACCATGACAACACCTACTGCGTAGTGTTCTTACAAAATAGGGCGGCAGGTGAGTCAACAGAACTCGACAGATGGGCGTTACTCTCTTCTTCCAGCTTCACTCCAACACTCCCAGCTTGCCTCCATGGCACCTTTCTTCCCCTGAGATTCTACTGCAAAGAGTCTGGGAACAAGTCCCTGGTTTGAAGTCAATACCTCGCTTGAAATCCAGCAGGAACCAGCGGTAGCAGAAGTAGAAGTGAGTGTAGTCCCCGTTCTGATGCATCAGCTCAAAGAGCTCTGAGTCCAGAATCTGCACAAGGGAGAAAAGGTTGGCATCAGCCTCCCGGCAGGAGGCTGCACCAGAGGGGTCCACTGAATAAAGGGTGGTCCACCTTCAGACTGGATGCCATTCAACCCCTTAGACCAGGTGGAGTTAAACAATGGGCCAAAGATTTGAAGTGAAAATTGACCCAGTTCAGGTCAACCCAGTTGTGTCCCCAGAGAAGATATGCAAATAACCATAAAGCACGTAAGAGATGCTCGGCATGATTAGTCAGGAAAATGCAAATCAAAACCATGATGAGGGGATCCCTGGGTGGTGCAGTGGTTTGGCGCCTGCCTTTGGCCCAGGGCGCGACCCTGGAGACCCGGGATCGAATCCCACGTCAGGCTCCTGGTGCATGGAGCCTGCTTCTCCTTCTGCCTGTGTCTCTACCCCTCTCTCTCTGTATGACTATCATAAAATAAATAAAAAATTAAAAAAACAAAACAAAACAAAACAAAAACAAAACCATGATGAGATACCACTCCACACCCACCAGGACGGTAAGGGTCAAAATGGCAGACAACAAGGTGTTAGTGAGGCCGGGGAGAAACTGGAACCCCTGTATGTGGCTGGTGGGAATGTAACGTGGTGCAGCTGTAATATCACTCCTAAGTATATCACTAGGAGAAATGAAAATGGACGGCCACATAAAAACCTGTACACGAATGTTCACAGTGCACAATTCCCAACAGCCCAAGGGTAGAAACAACCCAAACGTCCATCAATGAATGACTGGAAAAACAAAATGTGGCAGAGCCATCCAATGGAACATCATTTGGCAATAAAAAGGAATGGCCTATTGACACGCACTACAATGTTGAGGCACTTTGAAAACATGATGCTAAGTGAGAGAAACCAGACACAGAAGTTATGTTACTGCATTTCTATGAAATGTCCAGAATAGGTAAACCGATGGAGAAAGAAAGTAGATTAATGGTTGCCAGGAGCTAGGGAGAGGAAATTATGTTACCGTGGTTACTGGGGTTTCTTTTTGGGGTGCTGAAAAGGTTCTGAAATTAGTGATGGTTTCACCACTGAGATTATTCTAGAAACCATTGGATTGTATATTTAAAAAGGGTCAATTGCATGGTATGTGAATTATAGCTCAATAAAGCTGTGTGTGTGAGAAATATACCCAAATGTTATTTTGAGGGAAAGGATCAGTACAAGCAAGCATCTTTTTAAGGGCGAGAGCCATATTTTATTACTGTAGCTACAGTGCCTGGACTGAATAAATGCTCAGTGAGAATGAATCCAGTGGAGTTGATCTGAGTTAAAATGAACTGAATTGAGTTGAGTTAGGCTAAGCATGGCTGTTACGTTGATTTGAGGTCCATTAGGCTGAAGCGGAAGAAGGTATATTATTGAATAGGACTGGCCGTACCTGGATCAGTGACCTCATGTTGGCAAAGTGTGTGTCCATGGCACCTCCATGGGGGAAGTTCTGGTTCATCCTCTTCATGAGCTCCGTGAAGCAGCTGAAGGCGAGGGCCTCTGGGGAAAGAGCACAGAAGAAACAGTCACCTCTGCCAGTGCCCAAGGAACCCAAGCTCCCAAGGTGATCCCAAGGTCGAAGGCCTGGAGCCGGTTCCTGAAGTCCACAGCCAGAGGAGAAACATGCAGAGGAGGGAGCATCAGTGTATCCCACTTCAGAGAGAGCTCTGCAGTCATTAAGTACTTCCCACCTGCGAGGGGCTGAAATGGCCTTTCTTTTAGGAGATGATGCTGACACCAGACGTTCTTTTTATTTTTGTTTAAAGATTTATTTACTTATTTTAGAAAGAGAGCAGGGGAGGGGCAGAGGGAGAGAGAGGAAGAGAAACTCAAGCAGACTCCTCATTGAGTGTGGAGCCCAACTCGGGGCTTGATTTCACAACCCTAAGATCATGACCCAAGCTGAAACAAAGAGTCAGATGCTTCACCAACTCAGCCAGCCAGAAGCCCCCAGATAGTCTTTTAAAAGATCCCAATTTACTCTAATAAAAAGTTGATGATGTTTCGTTGGTCCCAAACTTTTTTCTTTTTCAAAATTCTAACAGTTCATGGGATTCTGAAGTCTGGGAACCACTGAATTAAAATGGCAATTGTCAATACTGGAAGGGTGCTAACAGGCAAAGAATTATGCAAAGAAAGGGTCCAATAACGGGAAATGCTAGAGAGGGACTACATATATTGAGAAATTAAAGGCTCTGAGAAGTCCTGCAGTAAAGAAACCAGTTTCATATTGTTTCAGCCAGCATTTAGAAAAATTTGTTTGAAAATGGTACCTTTTTCTCCCTCTTCTAACATCTGGTGTCCTTTAAAGCACAATAGTTTTTATTTTGTTAAGTCCAATTTATTTATTTCTTTTTTAAAAATTTTATTTATTTATTCATGAGAGACACACAGAGATAGGCAGAGACATAGACAGAGGGAGAAGAGGGCTCCATGCAGGGAGCCCGATGTAGGACTTGATCCTGGGACTTCGAGATGCCACCCTGAGCCAAAGGGAGATGGTCAACCACTGAGCCACCTGGGTGTCCCCAGTCCAATTTATTTTTAATTATGCCACTATATTCTTTTGGTGTCATAACTAAGAAATCGCTGCTTTACACCCAAGGTCACAAAGATGTATGCCTGTGTTTTTCTAATAATTTTACAGTTTTTACTCTTATATTTAGGTCCATGATCCATTTTGAGTTAGTAGTTTTTATATAGTATGAAGTAGGAGTTTGACTTCAATTTTGTGCATGTGGATATTTGGTTGTTTCAACATCATATGTTGAGAAGACTCTTCTTTCCTCACTGAGCTGAAATGTCTTGGCACCCTTGTCAAAATCAACTGACATAAATGTACCAGAAATGCTTCTTTCTGGACTTCCAATTTTATTTTACTCATCTACAAGGTCTATCCTTGTCAAAGTATCACACTCTATTGATTACTATAATATTCTAGTAGGTTTTGAAATTGGGAACTGTATGTCCTCTAACATCTTCTTTTTCAAAATTGATTTTCATCCCTTGCATTATCAAATGAGTTTTAGCATCTGCTTGCCCATTCGTACAAAAAAAAAAAAAATGCAGCTGGGATGTTGACAGGATCACACTGAACCTAGCTCAATTTGGAGAGTATTGCCATCTTAACACTACTAAGTCTTCTGATCCATAAACATGAGGTGTCTTTCCATTTATTTAGATGTTTAATTTTTTAATTTTTAAAAATATTTTCTTTCTTTATTCGTGAGAGACACACAGAGAGAGGCAGAGACATAGGAGGGAGAAGTAGGCTCCTTACAAGGAGCCTGATGCAGAACTCGATCCCAAGACCCCAGGTCATGCCCTGAGCCGAAGGCAGATGCCCAACCACTGAGCCACCCAGGTGCCCTAGATCTTTAATTTTTTAAACAATATTTTACAGTCTTGGCATACAGGCATACCTTGATTTATCACACTTTTCTAATACTGCATTTTTTACAAATTGAAGGTTTGTGGCAACCCTGCATCAAGCAAGTCTACTGATGTCATTTTTCCAACAGCATTTGCTCACCTCGTGTCTCTGTCACATTTTGGTAATACTTGCAATGTTTCAAACATTTTCATTATCATTGTATTTGTTACAGTGACCTTTAATCAGTGATTATGACTTGCTGGAAGCTCAGATGATTGTTCGTAATTTTTTAGCAATAAAATATTTTTTTTAATTTTTTTAATTTTTGTTATTTATTTATGATAGTCACAGAGAAAAAGAGAGAGGCAGAGACACAGGCAGAGGGAGAAGCAGGCTCCATGCACCGGGAGCCCGATGTGGGATTCGATCCCGGGTCTCCAGGATCGCACCCTGGGCCAAAGGCAGGCGCCAAGCCGCTGCGCCACCCAGGGATCCCCAATAAAATATTTTTAAATTAAGGTATGTGCGTTATTTTCGAACTGTGCTACTGCACACTTAATAAACTATAGTATAGTATAAATATAATTTGTATATGCACTGGGAAATCTAAAAATTCATTTGACTCACTTTATTGAGATCTTCACTGTATCACAGTGGTCTAGAACTGAACCAGCAAATCTTTCACTTCCTCTCTTAAATTAATATAAATCTTCTTTTAGATGCTATTACAAATGGGATTGTCTTCCTAAAGAAATACAACTGACTTTTGTATATACATCTTGTATCTTGCAACCTTGCTGAACTTTTTTTATTAGTTCCAGTATTTTTTTAGAGGGGGAGTGGCAGTGAAAGAGGGAGAGAACATCAAGCAGGCTCCATCCCTAGTGTGGAGCCCAACACGAAGCTGGCTTTCACAACCCTGAGATCATGACCTGAGTTGAAATCAGGAGTCAGACACTTAACAGACTGAGCCACCCAGGTGGCTCCTCTAATACTTTTTTTTCTTATTCCTTAGGATTACTATATACAAAAATCACATCATCTGCAATAGACAGTTTTATCTCCTTTCCAGTACGGCTACCTTTTGTTTCTTTTGTTTCCTTAATTGTCCTGTCTAGAACCTTTTTTGTAGCAAAAGTGGACATCCTTACCTTACTTCTGATCTTAGGAGGACAGCAATCAGTCTTTCACCTTGAGTATGAACTAGCTGTAGTTTTTTCTTACGTACCTTTTATGTTTAGGAAGTTTCCTTCTATTCCTAGTTTGTTGAGTGTTTTTAATATGGAAGGGTGTCAGATTTGGTCAAATGCCATTTCCTTGTCAACTAAGACAACTGTGTTATTTTTATCCTTTATTCTATTAATATGGTGAATTACACTGATTCATTTTCATTCATTGAACCAGCCTGTGTTCCTGGGATAAATTCTATGGGGTCATGGTAAATAGTCCTTCTTAGATCTTGCTGGATTCAATTCACTGTTTGGCTAAGGATTTTTCTCTTTATTTTTTTTTTAAAGATTTTATTTATTTATTCATGAGAGACACAGAGAGAGGCAGAGACACAGGCAGAGGGAGAAGCAGGCTCCCTGTGGGGAGCTCGATGCAGGACTTGATCCCAGGACCCCGAGATCACAATCTAAGCCAAAGGTAAATGCTCAACCACTGAGCCACCCAGGTGTCTCAGGATTTTTGTCTCTATATTCATAAAGGACATCAGTTTGTAGTTTTTTTTCTTGTGATGTCTTTGTCTAGTATTAGTACCAAGGTACCAGTGGGCCCTCATATAAGGAATGGTCTTATAGAGTGAATTGGAAAGTATTCCCTCCTATTCTATCTTTTTGAAGAATTTGTAAATAATTGTTTGGTAGAATTCACCAGTGAAGACATCTGACCCTGGGTTTTCCTTTGTTTCCATTCACATTTGTACAATCTGTGGCTAGCAAAGGCCTGGCTGGGTGTTGGGCACCTGGCAGTAAAAGCGTTAGGCCTGGCTAATGTGGAAAAATAAGATGTTTTATTTCACCAGGACCTTGTTGTGTTCACCAACAGGTCCTCTGAGCACCTGTACTGACCCATTCCATGGAGTCACAAAGTGAGGTTAACATCCCTCCTATGCAGTAGTAAGAAAATTGTACCTCTGGCCCTGGAGTGGGGAGGACATACTCACCATCATCCAGGATGACCAGCAATGGAGCTAGGAGGTCACACATGCCCTGGACATAGCCGATCTCAATGTGCTGCCAGATGTAACTATAAGAGAGAGACAAGGGGCCTAAGGATGGCAATCATGACCCGTCTCTCCAACCCAATTCTCTCCCTCCTCCCTACACAGTCCCCCAGCCCTCACCTGAATTACTCATTCCTTCAGCTCCCTGCTGCATGCCTTTCCCCAGTCTCACTCTCTTCGAACATCGTATTCTCAGCCACCACAATGGCCTTCCTAAAGCCCAACTCAAAGAGTCCACCACTTGTTCACAGGCTTCCCACTACATGACAAAACAATGTGCAAACTCCTTCACTAAGGGTACAAGGCATTTAGTGTCTCCTCCCTATCCATCTTCACAGTCCCATCATCACTTCCTGGCACTTCCTCTTCTCTGGCACACATTCATGCCCCTGTGCTTTGCCAGTTCTGTGCCTGGAGTTCCCATTTGCCCCCTTAATAATAATAATATTTACTGAGCATTTACTGTATACTCAGTCACTAAACATGTATTGTACCATGAAATTCTCAATCATATGAGAAAGGTATTATTATATCCCATTTCACTGATGAGGAGACTGAGCCCACAGATAAAAGTGACACGCATAGAGTCATACACCTAATAATAAGTGGCAGAGACAGGATTTGAGCCCAGATGGCCTCATCACCGGGTATGCATATTTTAAGTGCTGTCTTGAGTCTCTCCTAATTTTGCCAAGGGCCATCTTCAATGTCACCACCTCTGTGAGGCCTTCCATGATTTCTCCCAAGGTTATAACCCAGCAAAAGTCAGTCTATGTTTCCTTCGCCTCCAGTACCTCTTCATTCTAATGTAGCATACTATATTAAAGTTCATTATATTTGTATCTCCTCAACTCCAATTTGGGGGTCAATGACTGCGAGAGGAGACTGTAAGATAGAATATAGTACTTGTTGTTAAAAATGAGTTAGAGCAAGAGTTGGCATACCTGTCCTGAGAAGTCCAGGTAATAATTACTTTCAGCTTTATACACCTTATGTTCTCTGTCTCAACTACTCAACTCTGCAGAAGCAGTCATAGATACTATGCAAACAAAAGCACATGGATGAGTTCTGATAAAACTTTATTTACAAAAATAAGTGGTGGCCTGGATTTGGCCTGTGGGCTATACTAGTAATTTGTGAAGCTCTCAGTTAGAATAGCATCAAGAAATGTCCAGGATGCATTATTAAGCGTATAAAGCAAGCTGTACAAAAATATAGTATTCATCCCATATAGGTAAATTTAAAAGAAAACATTAAAATATGTATGTACTCATGTGATATATAATATATCTATATCTATTCTGCGATTTCACACATATTTTAAACATAGCTAGCTAGCTAGGGAAGATATTCACTAAATTGTTAGCAGTAGTTTCTTCTCGTGAGGTGAATTATGACTGGAGAAGGAAACAGTTTCTCTTTAGACCTTATAAGCCAAGACCTTATGAACTTCTGGTTTCGCCGGTTGATTTAGGTTTTTAATAAGCTTGAGTTACTCTCATATTTTAAGAAATAAAATATTTAGTATGCAGTGAAAAGTAATAGGAAGTTCCAGGTCTTGGCTTAAGGAAATAAACCACATATTCTAGAGCCTGAGAGATGTGAGTATGAGTTCCTGCTCAGGTAACTGCCCCGCTGGGGGACTTGACCACCGTGGTAGCCCTCAACCTCCATTTCCTCACCTGTAGAAGGGGGTAATACTTACCCCACAGGCTTACTATGAGGAATAGGTGAAACAGTGTTAGTAAAGGGCTCAGGAGAGAGTACCCGATATACAGTAAGTAAGTGCTTAATAAATGCTCTCTGTTATTATCATTGCTCTGATTGTTATCTTATTGGCAGTGTGGGCTGGAATAAGTGCCAGATTGGCAAGGTGCCAGCTGTAGAGGCAGGGGGCTCCCTGTAGCCCTAGCCTTTGCCACCACCTCCCATGCCCCTACAGATCCCCCGACTCCCCAACCCAGCCACCTGCACATGATGTTGCGCAGCTTCTCCAGGTTGGCGGGCGTGAAGTACCAATAGTTGCGGTCACACCTCTGGACATCCTTCTCGATGCGGTGCAGGTTCACCGTGTACAGGTCCAGGAGCTCTGGCTGCAGGCCCCCAGGAGGGGAAGGAAAAAACAATTACACCCCAACTCCTCCTAGAGGTCACATTCCAGAGGTTTTCCCTCCTCCTCACCCTCACCCTCCACCGAAACGCCCACATCCTCTTCCAGAGCCAGGTAGGTCTTTGATTTCATTTCTGTTGTTTCCTGAGAAAGTACCTTTTCACTTTGTATGATTAAAGTTTTTTTTGTTTTTCTCCCTTTTATGAAACAAAACAATTCTCTAAGGTGCACAGACTAATTATCCCCGCTGAGTGGATGAGGGTTATAACTAGCTGGAGGTCCTCCCTGTTCCCTGCTGAACACTGGACTGGAAGACTGGAGGAAACGATTAGGAGTCTGGTTCTGGCCATATGCTGGACTTGCTGCCTTGACCTCACCTGATGAAAAGGTGCAATGATATGTGAGAAAAATAAGGAGCATTTTTTTTAAGATTATTTATTTATTTATTCATAGGGACACACAGAGAGAGAGAGGCAGAGACACAGGCAGAGGGAGAAGCAGGCTCCATGCAGAGAGCCTGATGTGGGACTCAATCCAGGGTCTCCAGGATCACGCCCTAGGCTGCAGGCGGCGCTAAACCGCTACACCACCGGGGCTGCCCAATAAGGAGCATTTCAAGGCTAAAATTTAACCCACAAAAGCAAGAAAATATCAAATCTGGCTTTTGCCATGAAGGAAGCTCCCAAATTGGCAAAATGTAAGCTTCGATTGAATGATTTTGGGGTCCTTCTCCACCAAGGTAAGGAATCTAGTAAGAGACTTTCCTGCATTAAGGGGGACCCCCAAAGAGCCTCATCCCCAGTAAGGGAGCCCTGGAAGAAAAACTAACATTTGGGGTCCCGAGGACCACTGCCTGTCTTGAACAGAGGTGTCAAATGAAGTGTAAAATACAGCTCCCTGGATAATTAAAGGCCTCAGATCAGGTTTACAGCTCATGCAGCTGCATCATCCAAAAGCAAAAATAAATTCTATGTGAAGGCAGAGAAAAATCCAAGACGACAGCTCTCCATCGGGAGCAGCAGACTGGAGAAGACCCCAGAGATACTTCTTGAGACACACAAAATGAACAGAAAACCTGATGTGTCTGAATGTTCCAGCAGAGATTTAGAAAACTGGCACACCTTGGGGGATGGGGAAGTGAAATGATGATTCATATGAAGCAAACGCAGGAAAAGAAAACAGACAAGGAAATGAAGATGCACGTGGAGAAAACAAAATTTTTGTACAGGAAAGAAAAAAAAATAAGTGCATCTTCCTACATGGTATATACATTATGTTGTTATACTACTGTGAACACTAAAGAGTCATTTAACTAAAGTTATTATAACTGTAATGGATGGATGGGGCTGGGAAGGTGTCACTGTGTGGTGAGGGAGTGGATGTGGAATGTCTGGGATTAAAGAAAAAGACAATAAAGATCAAGAAGTAGCAACACAAGTTATGTTATTCACATACTTTACATACTGTTCTTTACAGACAGGGGGGTAAACACCATATAATTTGGGCAGAAGGGGCACCTGGGTGGCTCAGTGGTTGAGCATCTGCCTTGAGCTCAGGTCATGATCTCAGGGTCCTGGGATCGAATTCCGTATTGGGCTCCCTATAGGGAGCCTGCTTCTCCTTCCTCCTATGTCTCTGCCTTTCTCTGTATGTCTTTCATGAATAAATAAACAAAATCTTAAAAATATAATTTGGGCATAATAAGTAACTGCTACTGCCTCTGGGGGAGAGCTCCATGGGAGCAGATGGGGGCACTTCTGGTTTCCTATTCAGCCTTGTCTGACTCTTTAAACTATGGGCATGTATATCTTAGAAATAAGTTCTTTAAAGGAAAATGGATACACCATTGCCTGGCTCAGCAAACACCCCATTCAACTGACATCCTTTGGTTTAGACTTTTTGGCAAGAAAGGAAACTTAAGTATTTAAAAGTTGCTGGACCTGAATGTATGCCAAGATGCTCATCATTAAGGCTGCTATTGACTGACAGTTCACTGCACATTAGGCATGGGGGACTGGACTCACTAATACAGAGAACAGCTCAGGAGGGAAGGTACTCAACTGGTAGGGAAACTGAGGCTCAGAAAGACAAAGTGATGTGCCTCAGCTGGTATTGAACCTAGGACGGTTAGAACTCCAAAGCCTGTGTTCTTTAGGTTAGTACAGTATAGTTACTGTCTTCCTTCCCAAATCAGCTTCTCCAGGGCAACCCCTGTGCTGAGGAAGATGTGACAGACCAGAGGTCATTCTGGGGAACTGAGGCTCGTGGGACACACCCACCCTCCCACAGCTGTTAGGGAAGAAAATTGAGTGGAAGGGAATCCTGGTAACTTACAGAGTAAGTGACGCCGCTGGAAGACACAGGGGACGCCTCATTGTTGGCAGAAGTGGCCACGGCCAGAGAAGCCAGGGCAGGGAAGAGACTTTCCATCTCGGGCTCTTCTGAGAGATTGTCCCCACTGTCCACCTGGCTGTGCTTCTCCGCCTCGCTGCCCCCCCAGCCCTCCATGGCGGCCCCCTCCTTTTCGGGCAGGGCCATGTCCATGCTGCCAGTGAGGGACATGAACTCGTCCATGCTCTCGTTGGCAAGGAGATCACTCTCCAGGCTGTCCTGCACGGCCAGCTCCTCACGGGGGGCCTCGTCCCGGGAGGTGGTGGCCTCACTGCTCTGCCCGTCATCCACGCTGCTGTCCCCAGGTCGAAGAGCCAGGGGGGCATTCCGCTGGGCATCCATGACACTGTCCTCTGTGCTCAGGCTGGGCTCTGAGTGCTCCGAGAGGCCCGAGGAGAAGTTGTGGGAAGAAGGATGGCCAGAGTCTGGAGAACAGGTGCCATTCACCAGGTTCCCATTGGGGATCTTGGGCTGTTTCTCCTCCAGCCTGCATTCTGCTTCCACTTGTTCCACTTCATCCACAGACTCAAACACCTGAAGACAAGGTGCAGAAAAACAGAGACTAGGATGTCCATTATGGCACTCCTTCCAGCAGCATCCTAAATATCCGTCAGCAGCAGACTGGTTCCATTATGGAACATGCATGCAGAACACTATACATCCAGGAAAAAGAGTGGGGGGTGGAACCAGGTATAATATATGCTTCCGTTGTGAAAAATTAAAAAATGGTCTATTGCAAGGAAACACACAGAATAATCCAGAAATAAGGAAGCATTGAAATTGCCTAAGGAGGGAGTACTAGGGAATTGAAGCAGCAGGGAGCATGCCTTTCATCTCACAAAATCATATACACATAATTTTTTAAGTAAAAAATTGGTTAATAATATAGGAAACAGCTAAAAAAGCATACTCTATCCATGTGGTTGGTTATTACAGAACTACTTTCAAAAGTAGTGAGATGTATATATAACATTGTGCAAAAGCCTCCAGGATAGGGGATCCCTGGGTGGCTCAGCGGTTTAGCACTGCCTTCAGCCCAGGGCGTGATCCTGGAGTCCTGGGATCGAGTCCCACATCAGGCTTCCTGCATGGAGCCTGCTTCTCCCTCTGCCTGTGTCTCTGCCTCTCTCTCGTGAATAAATAAATAAAACTAAAAAAAAAAAAAAAGCCTCCAGGATACATCTCAAAGACTTACTTGTCGTTCTTTATATTCATAGGTCATATTCCATCAGGGATATAGTATAAGACCACATTCCAAGGTGACATGAAATATTTCTTCTCTGTGTGTTTGTGTCACCCATTTGATTTGCTGTTAAAATCATGTTTTTGAGTTTTAAATTTTTCTTCTCGATTTGTTTTAAATCATGTAAAAAATTTAATAATGTACTTAACTCCAAAGTCGGAACTAGAAAACAAGGGATATTCAGGGAAACATAGATTCTTCTCCTGTGCCCTCCCCATTTCCCTGTAGGTAACCATTCTGATTTGTTTCGGAATTATTCATTCATTGTTTTTCAAAATAGATATGTTAATATTCATATTTCCTCTTTTTATGCAAAAGGTGACAGAGTATGTGTATTTTGGGGGCTTTGCTTTTTTAATATTGAGTGAGATGAGTTAACATTTCATTGCATAATATGGAAAGCTGTGGAACAACACATATGATAGCATTTATGTAGAAATGTTCAGGGATCCCTGGGTGGCGCAGCGGTTTGGCGCCTGCCTTTGGCCCTCTCTCTCTCTCTCTCTCTCTCTCTGTGACTATCATAAATAAATAAAAATTAAAAAAAAAGAAATGTTCAAAAATTACCAAACACTGCAGTATATCCTTTACATATTGCATATATAGTTCTGTGTATGTACAGACAAACAGAAGCACCTGGAAGGATACATAGCCAAATGATGATATGTCTAGGGAGGGCAAGTAGGGCAAGTAGGGATTAGGAATGGTCAAAGTCAAACAGCTTTCTCTGCAAGATTTTAATTTTTTTTTAAGATTTTATTTATTTATTTATTTATTTATTTATTCATTCATTCATTCATTCATTCATTCATTCATTCATGATAGACATATATAGACAGAGAGGAGAAGCAGAGAGACAGGCAGAGGGAGAAGCAGGCTCCATGCAGGGAGCCTGACATGGGACTCAATCCCGGGACTCCAGGATTGCGCCCTGGGCCAAAGACAGGCGCCAAACCACTGAGCCACCCAGGGATCCCCAAGATTTCAATTTTTTTACAAGGAGAAGAGATTCATGTATTACTTATGTAACCAAAAACTCCAGTTTTAATGCTTGTATAAAAAGCTAAAACAGAGGATCCCTGCGTGGCTCAGCGGTTTAGCGCCTGCCTTTGGCCCAGGGCGTGATCCTGGAGTCCCAGGATCGAGTCCCGCGTCGGGCTCCCGGCATGGAGCCTGCTTCTCCCTCTGCCTGTGTCTCTGCCTTTCTCTCTCTCTATGTCTATCATGAATAAAAAAAATAAAATAAAATAAAAAATAAAAAAAAAGCTAAAATAAACCATAAGTGACACCTGTAGATGACTAGCGTCCATTCCCTTTACTCCAAGCTGGAGGGAATGTGTGGGTGGAGTGGGGAGGGAAGGATGGGGCGGGGGGGGGGGGGGGGCGGGAGGAGGCCTGGGGCCTCCGGAAGGTCACCTGTGTGCTGCTGCTGGAGTCACTCTGCAGGCGGACATGTTGGCGGCCGGAACTGCAGCTCTGGGAGGACTGATAAAAAAAAAAGAGGCCAAGAGAGCAGGGGTGAGGCTGCATCCAGGTTCTGGGGCCCTGCACTCAGCTCAGGCACGGATTCTGCAAGTGAGGTCTCATCTCTATTTCTGACTTGGGCAGGCCCATCAGTGCCTCTGCTTCCTGTCCGTACAAGGAGAGTGGGGGGCAGGGGAACTCCCTCTACTCCCTGGAGCCTCCTCAGGAGTCACACAGCAGCCCCTGGACCCCACCTCCCTGCTACTCCTGCAACCAGAAAACCTCACCTTTAACTGCCCTGTACTTGAGACTTCCAGTATTTAAGTTCAACTCTGAGTGACTGGTTGGCACTAATGGCCTGATTTTTTTTTTCAATCCCCTCTCTGTGTACATGCTTTTGCCCTATAACTTCTAGTTCCTGCTTTGGCCAAGTGGGATGTCAGCAACCTCGCCAGTGCAGAGGTTTAACCGGTACCCATGTATTTCCACTTTGTCTTTTTATGATCTGCATTCATGATGAGAACGTGCCCAGCTCAGCCTGCCAGAGGGTGTGGAGCACAGCCCACTCACCCCAGACAGGTGAGAGAGCCCAGGAAAGAGCGACAAACCTTCCAGCTGACCAGGCACTGACAGCAGGCACAAGGATGAGCCCTGCCAGCCCCACTCTGAGCAGAAGTGCTCAGCTGAGCCAGATGGTGAGGACACATTCAGTGTTTACTGTGAGAAGCCACTGACTTTTGGTGGCTGCTTGCTATGCTATGCAGTATGATTGCTGGCAACTGATGAGTGTACGTCACTGGTGAAGAGAATTAACTTTCTTCTCAGCTCCTTCTTTGGGATGCTAAACTGGAGGTTCTGTGAGAGCAGAGACTCAGTCACTGGAGTGATCCTGGCATTCCAGGATGTTCTTGATGGTCGCCGGCACATAGTGGGTACTCAGCGAGCATTTGCAGATCACATGAAGGTCTAGCTCTGTGCTAGGTGCTTTGTATGCACTACCTCGTGTGAGCTGCACACACAAACCTCCCCTATGCAAATGACTGTTTCCATTTTATAGATGTGGAAACTGAGGCCCATAAGTAAAGGTGCTTGCTTGAGGCCCCACAGCTAGGAAATTGTGAGGGTGGATTCAGATGCAGGTCTACCAAACTCCACAGTCACCTCCCACCCAAACACTAGGGGTGTGATTCTGCCTCCAGATGCCCAGCCATCACCATCCCTGCAACAACTAAACAGAGGGAATTCCGGCCTTAATCACCCCCCGTGCTCCCGGATGTGTGGTGCGCATCACCTCATTGCTGATGGTGGAGTCCCGGTGCATCATCCGGTGCAGGTGGCTGTCCAGGCTGGCCCCTGATGAGCATTTAGCCAAGGCAGCTGCATGGGACTCCCGCTCCCTCTGCCGCACGATTGCCTCGCAGCCCAGCCATTCAGCCATGGTCTGTGCATAGCACGCATGAATCTGCTCGTCCACCTGCCGGGACAGAGGCAACATCACCCTGGAGGAGAGCCAGCCCAACCCAAAAGAGGACGCTGGCTCTGACCTGGGGCCCTCAGCCCTGGAGACACCCAGCCATCATTCATGGACATCCAATGGACACTGACTGAACACCTACTATGTGCAGGGCGCTGGCTAGGCCCTGGGGATACACAAACGTGTGAGGCTACTTCTCTCTTTCAGTGTTTGCTTCCTCCCTTATATTCATTCATTCATTCATTCATTCATTCATTCATTCATTCACATACACATTCAAATATCTGTGGAGCGGGATCCCTGGGTGGTGCAGCGGTTTAGCGCCTGCCTTTGGCCCAGGGCGCTATCCTGGAGACCTGGGATTGAATCCCACTTCGGGCTCTCGGTGCATGGAGCCTGCTTCTCCCTCTGCCTATGTCTCTGCCTCTCTCTCTCTCTCTGTGTGACTATCATAAATAAATAAAAATTTAAAAAAAATATCTGGAGCTTCTACTCTGCCAGGCAGTGTACTAAGTCTGGAGGGTACTGAAGGGGGACTGGAGAAAGGAAGTTTCTTTCCTTTATTACCTTCCTTCTCTCCTTCCTTGTCCACTCATTTACCCATAATTTGGGAAGCACCTACTATGCGCTAGGTACCACGCTAGGCATAGGGAAAACAAGACGAGCAGAATGCCCCACTCCATTCATCCATCCACTCCCTCCACACATGTACTGAGGGCCTCCCATGTCCCCAATGTGGGGCCAGGTGCTGAGAATACAAAGATGAACAAAACCAACGTCTCCCCTTACTCCAGCAGCGGCCTTATAGCAGGGCTATAGATTTCAAGTATTTTTCTTGTGCTGTGTCAGCAGACAGGAGAGCAGCTTGCGTTGCTCCTGATACACGGCCCAGGTAACAGGCTCTGTGTTTGCCAGGCCTCTGGGCATAAATGGGGGCAGACAGTCTGATCTAAGTAAGGATGTGGATGGGTACAAAGGGGAAGAGAGAGGGCAGGGAGCCTGCCCCGTGCCTGGGCTGGGAGCGGTGGGGAATCCTTTAGTTATTCAGGGCTTCCAGAGAGAGGCTCGAGGTAGCCCCAAGTGTACCCCAAGCCCCAAGCCCTGTCCTCCCACTCACTGACCACCAGAAGGTTCAGCGCAGCACACCTCCGCGTTCCCACTGCTTTCCTAAGCTAGGTTTCCACGACCCTGCACCAGGATGACCCCAATAGCATCCTTCCCAGTGCCTGCTTGTCCGAGCTTGGCCCCTCCTATACATTTACCCCTTGGCAGCCTCCTCACCAGCCCCACCTCTCACTGTGGCCCCCACCCTCCTGTCCTTTATGTTCTCCACCACCATGCACTTCCTACCCCTCCCCACACAAACCTACACAGATACCTGCACACAGCATCATGCACCTGTCTCCAGGCTTTGCTCTTGCTGCCCCTCTTTCCAGAGGCCCTTTCTCATCCCACTTGCCTGGAAATCAAGCAGGGAGCCTTCGGCAGAGGTGCCTCCTAGGAGCTCTTAAAACCCCTGGGTTTGCCCCCTCCATCTGACTCTGCATAACCCCCACTAAACTGGCAAGGACCTCGTCTAATGCACTGCTGGGTCTCTGGTCCCGAGCACAGGGCCTGGTACCCCCAGAACAATGTTCCTGTTTGCCAGGAGCCCAGCAGGCAGAGGGTGAAGCATGGTAGGGGCCTCATGCTATCCCTGGGATGATTTTAGATCATCGTTCACTGGCATGGGTTCTTATACAGAATCACAGTGCGATTTCTATCTTCAGCTCCCCTTTAACTTTTAGGATTATGGGAAACGTCAGTCTGGTGCTATAGTGTCTTGAACACCTCCTATAACCCTTCATAATCCCCTTTTTAACAAAGAGAGAGCAGTCCTAAGGTAGGCTACAGCATTTATGTGGAAATGAATTATAACCTTTTGTCATATCCTATTTATTTTTATGGTCAGTTTTCCATTGATGGCAGAGATATAAAATATTTATTTATTTATTTTTAAATATATTTTTAAATTTAAATTCAATTTGCCAACATATAACACCCAGTGCTCATCCCATCAAGTGCCCTCCTCAGTGTAAAATATCTTTTTAAATAAACTATACTGGGACACCTGGGTGGCTCAGCGGTTGGGCGCCTGCCTTCAGCTCAGGCCATCATCCCAGGATCCAGGATCAAGTCCCACATCGGGCTCCCAGCGAGGAGGAGTCTGCTTCTCCCTCTGCCTATGTCTCTGCCTCTCTCTCTCAATCTGTGTCTCTCATGAATAAATAAATAAATCTTTAAAAATAAATCAATAAACGATATTCACAGTGAGTCAATTTACTGACAAATATATAATAGCACAGGTGGTACGTGGATATGGAATGTAGAATGCCATGTTTTGAACTTAGTATGAATAAAAAAAATGTAGAATATCTCAATAATTTTTATGTGGATTATACCCTGAAATTATATATATATACCCTGGATTATATCTTCAGGACCTAGGGCTAAGCAAAAATGTTCTTAGACTTGACACCAAAAGCACAATGTATATGAGGAAATATTGATCAACTGAACCTCATCAAAAATTTAGAAATTTGTTTTTGCAGAAGATCTCATTAAGGGAATGAAAAGACAAGACATAGACCAGGAGAAAATATCTGCAAGCCATTTATCCAAAAAAGAAGGAGTATCTAGAATATATAAAGAACTCTCAAATGCAACGGTAAAAACCCAAACAATTCAGCTAGAGAATGGACAAAAGATGTGAACAGACACTTCACCAAAGATACATAGGTGGGAAGTAAGCATGTGCAAAGATGTTTGATATCACTGACTATTTGGGAGATGCAAATTAAAACCACAATGAAATGTCATTTACACCTGCCTGAGTGGCTAACATAAAACATAGCAATGAGACTAAAACCCCAGGGCAGATTCAGGTGTGGATCACTCTAATATTGCTGGCGGGAGTACGAAATGGCTTAGCCACTGCAAAAGCTTCAGTTTCTTCCAAAACTAAGCATTCACAGCGTGTATCCCAGCAATTATACTCCTGAGCACTTAAGGACGACTTATGCTCCCACAAAAACATGAATGTTCACTGTAACTTTATTTGTAATAGTCCAAACTGGGAAACAACCCACCTCTCCACCAACAGGTGGACAGTCAACCTGTGACATACCCAGGTCATGGAAAAGCACAGAACTCTTAGCCATAAGAAGGATAGATTAGGGGATCCCTGGGTGGCTCAGTGGTTTAGCACCTGCCTTCGGCCCAGGGCACGATCCTGGAGTCCCGGGATCGAGTCCCACGTCAGGCTCCTGCATGGAGCCTGCTTCTCCTTCTACCTGTGTCTCTGCCTCTCTCTCTGCATCTCTCATGAATAAATAAAGAAAATTAAAAAAAAAAAGAAGGACAGATTACCAGAGGATTAGGCTGAGTGAAAAAGTCAATCCCAAAAGGTTGTATACTACATTCCACTTACACAACATTGTTGAAATGACAAAATTGCAGGAATGAAGAACAGACTGGCTATTGCCAGGTGTTAGGCTGGGAGGTGTGGCTAACAATAGGGCAACACGAGGACCCTGGTAGCACCGGAGATGTTTAATATGTTGACTGCGGTGGTGATATACAAACCTACACACAGATAGACTCACATGTACAACACACACACACACACACCACACAAATACCAATGCCTTGGTTGATATATTGTATTATAGTTTTATAAGATGCTACCATTGGGAAAAACTGGATAAAGGATACACGAGATCCTTCTGTACTATTACCTGTAAGTATGTGAATCTATAATTATCTCAAAATAAAAATTTAAACAATGGCATCTGGGGCTTGCATTGTATTTCTACTGGAAAGCACCGCTCTAGAGCTTCCTGTTCCCCCACATCCCCGTACCCCATCTTGGTCCAATACAGAACCAGAGCACACCCAGTCCCACAGTACCTGGCTCCTTTTGTTGCCAAAGACCCCCACTGCCCACTGGGGGCAACCAACCTCCTTCCTTTCTGTTTCTGTCATCCCGAACTGGTAGTGGCCTAGGAGGAAGGGCCATACGGCCTTGCGGATCTCTGGCTGGATGCCCCCATAGTAGATGAGGCGTAGCAGCTCCTGCTCCTCATATCTCTGTGGTAAGTGGGAGGAAGTAAAGGGTTTGGTTAACAGAAAACCAGAAGGTGGACTCTGTGACCTGGCAGGCCCACTCCTCAGATCTGGCCTTTAGAGATCATGGTGTGAATAAGCAAAGCCATCTTGGTATCATTTGGGAAAGCCCCCAACTGCCCGCTGATGGGGGAACAATGTATCCCTACATAGGAAAAACCAAGAAAGAGTAGAAAGGACAGGAGGAGCATCCATGAGAACTTACGCAGAAAGATGTCCAAAGTGTAATGTTAAGTGGGAAAAAAAAAGCAAGGTGAAGAACATATCTAGTGTGAGCCCATTTGTTTGCAAAAAAACTCCAAAAGGTCAGTACAGAATGAGTTAACATTTCTACTTAACTTTTAGTCAATTTTGCACATTGTGCTGATATGGCAACATCATCTCAAAATTACTAATCTTGACACACCTCAAAGAAAATTGTTTAAAAGCAAATCAATCCAAAATGAACATTTCCAGCTGGTTCTTCATGCACTAATAACTTCTGTGTACACTAGGATGACTTTAACAACTGTCTGCTGTACTGTCAAATAGACTTGCCCTCTTTTTAAAAATTCATTTTCAGGCAAAGGCTTTGGAGTTATAATTAGTCATGATAGGGGACCAGCAGGTCCTAGCTGTTCATGTGTGTGTGTATGGAAAGTACCAATGAGGGATCCTTGGGTGGCTCAGCGGTTTGGTGCCTGCCTTCGGCCCAGGGCCTGATCCCAGAGACCCGGGATCGAGTCCCATGTCAGGCTCCCTGCATGGAGCCTGCTTCTCCCTGTGCCTGTGTCTCTGCCTCTCTCTCTCTCTCTCTGTCTCTCATGAATAAATAAATAAAATCTTAAAAAAAAAAAGTACCAATGACTGCTGGAAAGCTACTCTGAAAGGAAGTAGGGTTCTGTGTCCTCCTATCTCCTTACTTTACATTCTAAAATTACAAGCATTACTTCACATGTTTTAAAGTAAGCTCTATGTCCAATATGGGACTTGAACTCACAACCCTGAGATCAAGAGTCACATGTTCTACTGACTGGGCTAGCCAGGCGTCCCACTGATTCTACATATTAATGCCCATCTTAGATATACTCAACCATTATGGCAAAACCAACCACTCTTCGTTTTTGTTGGAAATTTTAATTTGTATTCTGCAGACATCCTTGTCAAAGTTGTTTAAAATCAGAGGACTATTGGTGGCTGAGGCTATAAACTCTTCATCAAAAATCCACCTGCTTGGGTCCTGGAGCCCACAGGTAGACTCCATTTCCAGCCTCCCTTGCAGTTAGATGTGGCCATGTGACTAGGTGCTGGCCAATGGGATGTGACAGGATGTGATAGAAGTCATTTCCAAGCCAGAGCTTGAAGAAGCAGGTGTACTCCCTTCAGACTCTGCATTTCCCCTCTGCAACCTAGAGGCAGATGACCATGAGCCCCTGGAGGATCCTGGAGCCACAAGACTGAAAGAAAGACCCCTGAACCTCTGGTGGGAGGACAGATGCTCACTCCAGGAATACCTACCCAGGACTCTTCAGTGAGCAAGAAATACACTCCATGGTGTCAAGCAACTGAAGTAGTGGTGGCCATCTGTTACTGCAGCTCAGGCCACCCTAATACAACAATGCAACCAAGAAGGGTAAAAATACAGCCAGTTTGTGAAAGGACTGTAAAAGCATTAGACAAAAAATATTCATTTTTGGCTACTTTACTTTTTCTTTTTTTTTAATTTTTTTATTTATTTATGATAGAGAGAAAGAGAGAGAGAGAGAGACAGAGAGAGAGAGGCAGAGACACAGGCAGAGGGAGAAGCAGGCTCCATGCACCGGGAGCCCAACGTGGGATTCGATCCCGGGTCGCCAGGATCGCGCCCTGGGCCAAAGGCAGGCGCCAAACCGCTGTGCCACCCAGGGATCCCTACTTTACTTTTTAAACCAATTTGTCCTTAGACTAGTGCCTCTCAAACTGCAGAGCACTAGAAGCATTTGGGGAACTTTCAAAAAATATAAATTCTTGGGCTCCACTCCCAGAGATGCTAAATTAGTAAAGCTGGAGTGGAGCCTAGAAGTCTATAAATCTTTTGAATTCCTCAAGAAATGTGCACTCTCCCAGGCTGCCAGGGATTATGAACATTATGATTTTTTTTTGAGAAAGTAAGCAAGCTAGTGTATCTATTTAAATTTTAAATGCATATCAATCAATTTTATTTCTAGGAATCTACCCTTGAAATAAAAGCACTAGTCAGAATGATATGTGTGTATAAAGATGTCGACTGAAGCATTGTTCAAAGTAATTTTTAAGAGAAGAAAGAGCCCAGATGTCTATCATTAGGGGAATATTTAAATAAATTATGGGCTACTCATCTATGAGGTGCTAAGGATCTAGCATTCAATATTTCACCTAGAGATCTGAAAGACATCTTGGATATAAAATGAAGTTGTTGCTTAAAATACAAATATAATGTCACTTCATTTAAAAAAATAAGAATTATAAATATATCTATGGATGTATAAATCACAGGAAATATATGGCAGGGCCTCTATGTAACTGACATTATCATTAACTCAGCGGATCAGAATGAGAGCACTGTGACAGAAAAAGAAGATATGTAAACAATTTTTGTTCATACACCTGCATTCTTCATTGTTTGAGTTATCACAGTTAAGTAGGCATTCCTTCTGTCGTTTAGAAAAATAGCTATTTTTGGAAAAAAAAAAAAAGTCAAACAACCCTTTTGCTTGTCCAGGTTTGGGAACCAGCTTGTTTTTCCCAAAGTCCTCCAGCATTCCCAAATTAATACACAGAATAGTACCTTTCCCCAGCATGAGGAAGCAGCCTGACCCAGATGCTCCTCAGCTTGGCCCTCCCCAGGACTCGGGTGGGAAGGCACCCAGTGGACTGAGCCACTGCATTCATGTCCCATGTGGAGGAAATAGGTATCTCTTCTGAATGTCTGCTCCTGGCAGTGGTTAAACCAGTGTCTATCAAAATGGCTTCTGGGGATGCCTGGGTGGCTCAGAGGTTGGGCATCTGCCTTTGGCTCGGGTCATGATCCTGGGATTCGGGATCGAGTCCCGCATCTGGCTCCAAGCATGGAGCCTGCTCCTCCCTCTGCCTGTGTCTCTGCCTCTCTCTCTCTCTCTGTGTCTCGCATGAATAAATAAATAAATAAATCCTTTAAAAAAATCACCTTTAAAAAAAAAAAGGATGGTCTTCCACCAGCCATGGGAGGTTCTTTTCCAACAAAGGTCCCTATAGCCCAATTTGAGGGGCTGTTCCATATGCTCTCCCACACCCACGCCGCAGCCCCCCAATTTCTTGAGAGCGACAAGCGTAATCCCCTAGCCAAGGTTCTAGGAAGTTCTACAGGATTCAGAAGAGCTAACTCATCTCATTACCCAAACTATTCGACCATGAACCCTTTTTCAAACATGAACATCTTCCTTGTTAGGGACATTCGGCTTCTAATAAGAAAATCTTAGAAATCTGTCTCCAGGTGAAATATCTAATGGGAGGATTCTCAGGCCCCGAGGCAGAGATGGAAGAGTTCTGGATGGTGGTGGGCTTTTCTCCACCCCACTGCCTCCTCTGACTTAGCTACTTTCATCATTCTAAGTAGTTCAACTGGACTGTAAGTCTCTTCCTGCTGAGGACTCACAGCACCTCCCATAGCACCAAGCATACAGCTGGTGCTTAATAAACGCTTGGTGACAGGTTCATTCTTACTCCTTCCAGGCAAGCATGTGTACCTTCCATCCTCCTTGATCCTCACTCCTACAGGCAGAAGCGGGTTGTGGGTCTTGAACTTTCAAGAAAAGAGGGGCGTTCAAGTTGGGTTTGTAGAACCCAAAGGTGTCATAAGAGCCTTGAGCCCCCACAAGCAGGTGGGTCTACTGCTCAGATGACAAGACGGTCCCCCCACAGGCTCTGCCTCACAGCAGGCCAAGCCAGGCCAATCCTTACTGTGCTGTCCTGAAGGTACTGCTCCCAGATCCTGGCCGTCAGCCCATGCCCAGCATCACAGGGTGAGTCTGGAGACACGATCATGTGATTGACCAGGGCTGACAGGTGGGTCCTCACAGTGGACAGGTGTCTGCAGTAGGCAAGCCCTGGTGGAGGAAGGAAGGAAAAGTGCCATCATCCACCATTCACCCCCTTGCCTTGTCTCACCTGCGATCCTAGTGAACCCTCATGACCTAGAAAAGTTCCATCATCCCTCCCTTCTTGGCAAGGAAGGGGCTCTGAGGGGCAAAATCACTTGTTGAGAGTTGTGTGAGCCTGGGGACATCTAATCACCTTTCTCAGACTGGGCCAGGGTGACATTACCTCCTCTACTGGAAGCCAAGGCATTTAATCTATGGACAGGAGGCAGGGAAGGGGTGGCAGGGAGCCAGTGACCCCACAGGCTCTCTGTGCCTCTGCATGCCTCTAATTCATCCCAAGAGAGGGGAATGGCAGAGGTGGATGACTCTTGTTCAGAGTGCAGTTGGATAAAGAAAGCCCTGGGAGATGCACCCGGTTTGCTTTCAAAGATGGCCCTGCACTCTTGAATAAATGCCCGCCAACCCACCACCCTTCACCTGCTCCGCCCTGGGCACCTGGAGGGCACAGCACCTGGTATACAGGAGGCACTCACCAAATGCCAGCCTGTGTTTGCTCTGACTGTGCCCCCTCCCTCTGGCTCTCCCTTAGCAACTCCCAGAGAGGACCCTGGCCTTCTGGAGCCTGAGGACTCACCCCTGCCAGGAATGAGGGAGAGGAGGGGGAAGAGGTAAAGGAAGGGGAGAAGGGGAAGAAAGAGGGGATAAAGAAGAGATGGGGAGATAGGAGGAAGGAGGGGGAAGGGGAAAGAAAGGGGGGAAAGAGCGAGGAGGGGAAAGGGAGGAGGAGGGAGAAAGATATGGCTAACACTTATACAAGCACATACCACGTGCCAGGGAGCTGCTCAGAGCTCACACACTTAACTCATTAAATTCTCATGACAACCATATGAAACAAGTACTCCTATCTTTTCCATCTTATAGATGGGGAAACTGAGGCACAGGCTGCTGTGTCTCTTGCCCAGGTCACACTGCTAGGAAGTACAGAGTTGGGATTTGAACCCAAGCTGCACAGCCCCAGAACCTGGCCTCTCAACCACCATCAGGGGTGAGTCATTGAATGTGATAATGTTAAGATCCATCTTGACCCCCCCCAACCCTTCCATCAGGAAGCTCTTCCACTTGGGTCCCATAAATACTCATCCCAGGCCTGCTCCACACCAGGCCCTCCACTAGGCAATGGGGAGGGGTGATAACAGAACAGGTAATAACTTTGATCTTGGGAGCTCAGGCTGCCTTGCCTCTCCAGGTGGTTGGGCACACAGTGGGTACTGCTATTCCCCAGGCCCATGTAGTACGTATTAACACTTTCCTGGAATCCATGAAAATACACATGGTATATACCCCCATCTAGGCTGGGAGGCTGGGGAAATAAAATGTGCTAAGAATCAGTATAGTAGAGTAAAAAAACAGCCTTTGTGGTCAGGCAGGCCTAGGCCTGAGTCCCAGCTGTCCCGGATTAGCTGTGTGACCCTGGATAAGTCACTTGCCTCTTTCTGCCTTAGTTTCCTCATATGTTAAATGGAAATCATCAGAATTCCTCTATTTAAGTTTTGATTTTTAACTTCTCCTTACTCTTCTGCTTCTGCCCACAGGTGAGGGGGGAACTGACTTTTACTGAGCATTTTTGATGTGTAATGCTAGGTGCCAGGGGATATATACATGCTTCTCATTTAATTCTGAAAACAGATCCTCTAAGTGGGTACTGGTGATACAATGGCGATTAACTAAACCCCTGCCATTGAGAAGCCCCATCATTTGATGCCCTCTCTTAGCACCCAGAGATAAAATTTATCCCCAATCTTTGGTTGAGGAAGTTGAGCCTCAGGCAAATCCACCAAACTTCACTATAACTAGATGCATCTAGGAAATAGAGGAGCCGAGGTTCACGTGCCAAAGGCAGGCTCCTTCTCCTGATACTGCTGCCTTGTGATAGGGACACCTGGGTGGCTCAGTGGTTGAGCCCATAAGGACACCTGGGTGGCTCAGTGGTTGAGCATCTGCCTTTGGCTCAGGTCACGATCCCGGGGTCCTGGGATAAGTCCCACATCAGGCTTCCAGTGCTTTTCCTTCTGCCTGTGTCTCTGCCTCTCTCTCTGTGTCTCTCATGAATAAATAAATAAAATCTTTTTAAAAAATCACACCCATAGACCACAATGGCGAATAATGTCAATACGCACATCCATAGAAGGCTCTGGAAAGGATCTGGTATTTCATGTTGTCACAGAGAAGCTTCAGGGGAGCTCTGCAGGTGGAGAAAGAGGACACTGAGGAAAGACCACACAGAAACCACGTTTCCTGGAGGAACACAGCTCATTACCTGTAGGGTGCAGGTTAAAACCAGCCAATCAAGGGGACTCTGGAGTACTACTGTTTCCACCCATACTGCCACTTCTCCTATCCAGTTTTGGGGTCACTCTCTCCCCAACTCTCTGTCCCTATGGTTTGGATGGGGCTGATTCTACCCAGTACAGGACTCAGGCTGGAGTCACAGTCATGGGGTAAGAGGTGGTCTTGCGATCCAACCTGAGCCAATGAGAATGAGCCCCAGGATTTTTGCTGGAACCATAGGGAAATACACACTCTTTTCTCTGCTCGGGTTCCTAAACCAGAGGGATGTAGGGCAGTGGCTGCTGGGATCCATTTCTGCCACTGCATAGGAAGGGCCTCCTTGAGAATGAAACCATCACAGAGGCAACCAGAGGCAAGAGCAGAAGAAACAGAAATATCTGTATTGAGCATCTGGAACCAACCATGACTGAAAGTCACTGTACCTCTGGATTTCTCAGTTCTGTTGAGATCTTTTGTGTCTGGACCAGACTGAAGTGGGTTTCTGTCACTTGCAGAAAGAGTTCTGACTTCTAAAGTGACCCAGCTAAACCAAACTGAGCCAAGCTGGACTCAGAGTCTGGCTGACTGCAAAGGAGGTGATGCCTCAGAGCTCCTCCTTGCATGGGAACCTAGGGGGCTGACTTGGCTGAAAGAGAGGGGAGTAAGGCCCCATCAAGGACTGCTGATAGGAGTGTTGTGCATCCTCACAGAGAACAGAGTGGAAGAATATATGCATATTTATTCTCAGGACATGCTAAGGGACACCCAGGAAAGCTCAGGGAGACAGGGAGGAGGCATGGCTAAAGTCCTCCACTTACACACATGGAGGCATTAAACAGTAAAATCAGCCTCACGATGTCTTCAGGTTGGTGGGGCTCAGGCTTGCTCAGTTTACCTAAGAAGAGAACCACACGGATGGCTGCTCTACAGTGGACTTGGCTATGTAAAAGGTGGTGGGCTCCCCATCACTACAGGTGTGTAAAGCAGATGTCATGCGAGGGGATGCTAGGTTAGAACATCGGTTTTCAACAGCCCATGGACCACTAGCCCAAGAATCACTTGGAATTTCTCCAACGTGTGGATTCCTGGGCCCCTCGCAGACCTACTCAACCAGGACCTCTAAGGAAGTTGTCTTGGAACCAGTCATCACCTCTCCCTGGTGATCCTGATGCGCACAAACATGTGAGTCTCTCTGGTTATATCAGTGCTTCTCAAAAGTGCACATATGATCTTAGGATCTTGTTAAATGCAAATTCTGCTTCACTAGGTCTAGCAAGATGGACTGAGAATCCGCCGCCCAGGGATGCTGCTCCAGGTCTGTAGACTATATGCTGAAAGCCAGGCCTTAGATAACTTCAAAAATTTGATGCCAGCTCCCACCCCCTAAGCTCCTGTAGCTGAAGACTGGACCACTCATTGGGCCAGAGGCCCAGCATGGAAAAAGGGATTCCATTCTCTTCAGCCAGGCCAGGTGGGGTCCGTGGGAAACAAGACCAGTCTCATGCATGCATGGAGTAGCCCAGAAGACATACAAGATCTATGCACAAGGAGAGAGGTGACCTGGGGATTTACCTTTATCCAATAAAACAAGAAATGTCACTTACTGAACATTACCAAGTGCCGGTGACCACATGCGGGCCACATCAGATCAGTATCTGATCTGCCCTTACAACAGCTACACAATGCAAGGACTTGTGTCCCCATTTGGTGGAGGAGCAAACTGAGGCGCATGTGGTTGGCATTAAGTAGTATTTCTAGTTTCTGCCTTCCAGGAGCATGAGAGGTCTACATTGCGCAGTCTACTATGGATGGGGTCAGTGAGAGATGAGCAGCGTTTAATTGTTCAGGTGCCCCAGAGCTACCTTTCCCTTTCCCAGTCACTGTTACTGGTAATATTCAAGCTCCATCAGCGCGGACCTTGAATAGAGAGTAAGCAGAGCCTCCAGCTGATCCCTGATAGATACACACATGGTCTGCCCAATAAATCAATCTTTGCCGTACTAAGCCACTGAGATTTTGGGACTGTTTGTTACTGCCACGTAACCTTATTTATCCTAACTGATACATATAAGGAAGCTCTGAAAGCTATGACTTTGCAAGGCCAGAATTTAACCCAGACCTCAATGATTCCATAGCTTATATTCCTCTTCTGAATTCAGTGCTGGACAAGAAATGAGTATCTACAAATCTCTGGCAAATCCTTCCATACCCTCCACCCACAGATTAAGCCCCTCAAACCTCTCATGGTTGCAGCCATTGGATGAGCCACCATCAGCCGAGCCACTCTGTGAACAGGATGAGCAGGAGGATTTCCGGGGACTGGGTTGCCAGAGGGATGGTAGGTTGCTCACAGAGACATCCATCAGGTCCTGGGGGACTGTGGTGGACAGAAGGGATGCAGCAAGAGCCCTGGTTAAGCCTATGTGGGTCACAGAAACCTCATCCCAAAGCAAGCAGCTTGCCCCTAGGCCAGCAGAGACACAGGGGAAGACCCTGAATGTGACAGTCGGAGACAGTGACCCCAATCATGATCTGACCCAGACCTTTGAGCCCACCTGATCCAGTGAAAGCCGCCACCAAGATTTGGGGCCCTCAGCAGATGGGCAGAGCTGATGAGAGCTGTAGAGAAGAAGAGGTGGGGAATGGGGGGCAAGGGGGGGGAGAGAGAGAGAGCCAAGAGCCAAGAAAACAGATCTATCCCAGAGCAGAAGGCCAAGCCTCACCATGTTGTCATTCAAGTGTCCTCATAGGAGGCTGAAAAAAAGGAAGTGGGGCCTGCTGGGGGCTTCTGGGGAGGCTGATGGTCCCGAGTCCCCAGAGATACACTCTCTGGGAGAGAGAATCTTTAGTAGGGAGACAGAAGGGAGCCTAACTCAAGAGATAAGGTAGGGCAACCAAGGGCCAGGGACCCAGTAGAGTTCCTGCTGATGAGGCCACCTGCACTGTACATCATCCTGAGCCATATGGCTGTTCCATCAATGAGTCTCAAACGGGTTGGAGACCCCCACCCAGAATCATGTCCGGGGCTTGTTAAAAAAGCCATATGCCTGTATCTCACCCATGACCTATTTCATTAAAACCTCCTCGAGATATAGCCCTTAAATCTGTATATAAAAAAACAATTTTGGTAACAGCAGCCACGTTCAAGAACCAAGAGGTCATGACTCATCTCCTAACACAGATATTGGTGATTCCTGATGATGCAGCTCCTAAGACATAGCACTTAGAGTTTCCCTCACTGCCTTACTTTCCAGCTCCATGGAAACCACTGCATCTGCAGGGCTGCAGGACAAACAGAGCAGTGACTCAGACATTACAATTTCTGTGGTTCACTTCCTGGCCTCTTGGCAATTCCAGACAGGTGCAAAAATTTTATTTTCTCTAGAAAGAACAGGGCTCGGGAAACGGAGCTTCTGTCAAAGGCCAGGCAGTAAACATTATAGGGTTTGTGAGCCATTTGGCCATGATCATAATCACTCAACTTTGCCATCATAGTGCTAAAACAGCCATGCACAACATACAGACACATGAGCATGGGGATTTTCCAATAGAACTTGATGGACACTGAAATCTGACTTTCATATCTTTTTCACGTCACAAATATTACTTTTTTTTTTCGATCGTTAAAAAACGTAAGAACAAAAAAATAAAAATAAAATAAAAATAAAAAAATAAAAAACGTAAGAACAATTCTTAGCTCATGGGTTGCACAGAATGAGGCTGGCTCCAGCCATGGGACCTTGTTTGCCAAGCCCTACCCTAGAAGGTTAATCAGGGTGCACATGTATTCCATGGGCTGTGCCCTGTCAAGGATGACTGGTAATTCCTGGCCTCTTCCCCTGGCTACAAGGCAGAGGAAACTGAGGTGCAGAAAGCAGAAAGGTGCAGTGCAGAAAGCTCCTCCCCAAACTCACTGCTGAGCTGGCCAAGAAAGATCACTGAGTTCCTGCAAAATGTTCTAGAGAAGCATCCCCAGGTCTCCGCCAATCTCAGGGAAGCACTGATCAGTTTCAGCAAGGCGTGGCAAGGATGCCTCCACCCCAGGCCCTCACACTTCACATCACCAGTGGACCGCTTCACTATGGATCTCACAACACTCCAAGCTGCATCCTGCAACGTGGAGGCTGGAAGCGTGAGGGCACCAGTTTGTCTCCTCTTCCCTTGCCCTTGGGACAAAGACTCAAATGACAACATGGCAAAGGGGGCCAGCACCCAGCTCCAGGGGTGGGAGTAGCCCAGACATTACTGGGGAGCTGCTGCCTCAGGTCCGGCACGGGGAAGGTGGTGTCCCATTTGGCTCGCACCCACCGACCACCCCGGGCCACCACCAGCATGGACCGGCCAGCAGGAACCACCATCCAGGCAGGGCGCACGGAGACGGGGGCAGTGCTGCCCAGGGGATCAGGAGCAACTTGAAACAGAAAAACAAACAGAATGTCTGCGGTGAGCTGACACAGCCAAGGAACCCACTCCTCGGGCCTTTACCTCTCCCTTGCCAGGCTCCGCACAGCTCCCATGTATTATGTTGGCTTCGAGGAAGAAAGAATATTGATGTTTGTAAAATGCCCTACTATGTACTGGCTGCTGTGCAGGCATGGGACTGCTCTATCATGCTTAATGACCCTGTAGGGGATGCATCTCTTCTCCCATCCTGCAGAGTGGAAACTGAGGCTCAGAATGACAGTGGTGCTTAACCACCTACAGCCCCAGTGGGTGGTAACTGGCATAACAGCTCTTTCTGACCAAGGTCCCCCTACTCTTTCTGCTAATGACAGCTATTACGCACTGAGCCCAAGTACTATTATTATCTTTTTTTTTTTACAGATTTGTGAACTGAGGCACAGATGTGAGCATCATGCCCAAGACTACCCAGTGAACACATGGTGGAGCTGGGATTCCAATTCAGTGGGGAATCGGACCCTATTCATACTCTCAACTGATTCCCCCCAACATCACCCATGCTCTATTTAGACCACCAGGTCTCAAGTGGGGCAATTTTAGCTCCTCAAGAACATTCGGTGATGTCTGGAGACGTTTTTTGTCGTCACAACCTGGGAATTCGCTAGATGCTGCTGGCATCTATCTAGTGGGTAGAGGCCAGGGATGCTGCTCACCATCCTATAATGCACAAGACATCCCCCCCTCCACTAAACACAATTCTTCACAGTCCAAAATGTCAACCCTGCCCTAGACCAGCTCTATTTCATAGGAATCCAACCTGAGCCACATGCTTAATTTAGAAGTTTCTAGTAGCCACTAAAGGGGGGGGGCAAAGAAACAGATGGAATCAATTTCAACAATATATTCTGTTTAGCCCAGTATATCCATAGTGTTACCATTTCAACATATAGTCAATACAAACTTACTGAATGAGATATTTTACATTTTTTTGTTACTGCTCTAAGACTTCAGAATCCAGAGTATCTTTTACACTTCCTGCACATTTTCATGCGAACTAGCTGCATTTCGGGAATCCCTGGGTGGCTCAGCGGTTTAGTACCTGCCTTCGGCCCAGGGCATGATCCTGGAGTCCCAGGATCGAGTCCCATGTCAGGCTCCCTGCATGGAGCCTGCTTCTCCCTCTGCCTGTGTCTCTGTCTGTGTGTCTTTCATGAATAAATAAATAAAATCTTAAAAAAAAAAAAAGAACTAGCTGCATTTCAAGTGCTTGGGAGTCACATGCGGCTCACACCCACCACGCCAGATGGTACAGGCTGTCTCAGCAATACAGGAGTCTGAAAATGCCCTCCTCTGACTCTGAACCTGTCTCAGTGTTTCAGAACTTGTCTCTGCTTTCTCTGTGCATGAAGACACAGAGGTGGTAGAGACAGAGGCAAGAGGACACCCAAACGGGGTTTAGAACTATTTATGACCATATCATCCCTCCTGCAGGGCCAAACTCTTCTCTCTTATTACTTGAGACAGGCATCTGCAAACTTTTTCTATAAAGGGCCAGAGAGTAAATATTTTTGGCTTTGTGGGCCATATGGTCTCTGTCACAACAATCCCACTCTGCTGCCATGGTGTAAAAGCAGCCACACATAACATGGATATGAATGGGCATGGCTGTGTTCCAATAAAACTTTATTTACAAAAATAGGCAGTAGGCCGAATTTGGACCACAGGAAGGAGTCTGCCCATTTCTGAGGTAGGGACTTCTTCAGAAAGGGCTTCATTGTTCCCAAAGATGTAAACCATACATGATTGTTTCAGATCTGTGAGGCTCAGGCCCCTTAAAAATATCAACCAAGGATGGGAGCGACATTTCCATGTGAGCTGAATCTGAGCTTGGGGATAAAGCAGGGGCAACCACAATATCTCCTCATCCTGGTCAAAACAATCTGCAAGGAGGGTCTGTGAGAGGCACAAGCTCTGGAGCCAGGGCACTGGAGTTCAAATTCCAACCACACCGAGGATTAGCTATACAACTCTGGACCAGTTTCTTACCCTTTCTGTGCCTCAGTTTCCTCTTCTGATAAACGAGGGTTGGTGATGACATTGGTACCCGCCTTGGAGGGCCGTAGTGAGGATTAAATTAGTTACAACATTGGAGAGGCAAAGGCAGGCCTGGCACACAGTGGCATCTGCTCATGGTACCTACTACTGCTCATTGACAAGCATTTTGCATTACGTGTCTGACACATCATCACACTGACTCCTCAGAATAGGATCCTGGGTGGGAAGTGCTGTTCTTCCCATTTTACAGACAAGAAAATAAGGCCTGGAGTCATTGGCCATGCTGCAGTGGCAGAGGTGAACGTGCTGATATGTGCTTTTCTCAACTGGGGGCAATTTTGCTACATGACACTTGGCAGTGTCCGGAGATATTTCTGGGTGTCACAACTTGGTGGCAGGGGTGGTGGCAGATTTGCTACTTGGCAGTGAGTTAGGGGAGATGAGGGAAGCTGCTCAACATCCTATAATGCATGTGATGTCCCCCTCCCCAAACAATCACTATCAATTATTCCATCTAAAATGTCAGTAAGGGGGATCCCTGGGTGGCTCAGCGGTTTAGTGCCTGCCTTTGGCCCGGGGCGTGATTCCGTAGTCCCAAGATTGAGTCCCACATGAGGCTCCCTGCATGGAGCCTGCTTCTTCCTCTGCCTGTGTCTCTGCCCCTCTCTCTCTCTCTCTCTCTCTGTCTCTCATGAATAACTAAATAAAAATATTTTAAAAAATAAATTTATAAAAAAATAAATAAAATGTCAGTAAGGGGACGCCTGGGTGGCTCAGCGGTTGAGCATCTGCCTTTGGCTTAGGGAGTGATCCCAGAGTCCCAAGATTGAGTCCTGCATCAGGCTTCCTGCATGGAGCCTGCTTTTCCCTCTACCTGTGTCTCTGACCCCCCCCCCCTTTCATGAATAAATAAATAAAATCTTTAAAAAAATAAAATGTCAGTAGGGCTACAATTGAGAAGCTTTGTTCCAAATAAACTGAGCTCATTGGGGTTTCTTCAGAAGCAGACAAGAATTCAAGTTCCAGCAGTTCTTTTGGGAGATGTTCCCAAGGAGCACTGATAAAAGATGGGTGAAGAGACACAAGAAGGCAGAACAAACGGTTACTACTCAGGTTGCCGCCATGCGCAACTGGTGCTTGATTTCCTGGGGTACCTCAGGAGATGCGTAGAGCACAAAGGTCTGAGCTTTCTCATCAGGGTAGCGGGTGAGGGAGCTGGGGCATTTATTTTTATTTTTATTTTTTTGTTTTTTAAAGATTTTATTTATTTATTCATGAGAGACACACAGAGAGAGGCAGAGACACAGGCAGAGGGAGAAGCAGGTTCCCTGTGAAGGGCCTGATACAGGACTCGATCCCAGGACCCCAGATTATGCCCTGAGTCAAAGGCAGATACTCAACCACTGAGCCATCCAGGTGCCCCAACCCAGGGCATTTATACATCAATTCTTGTCAGTTCTTGGTTGAGGGATGTTCCATGGAGACACTGATTCTCTGACACCTCTGCCCTGCCCCACCCATAGGCAGAAGGGACCCTCAGGCAGAGAGACTCTAAGAATGGGAGCTGGCAACAGAGGGGCATGCACAGAGGGGCGTGGGTGGGTACAGTCTGCGTCTGTTCTCCTGGCACATGCAGAGCCACAGCACACTAACATGGACAGTCCCCAAATAAGTAAGACATCCAGCACCCAGCCTGGTTCCCAGCAAAAGCCTACACATTATTTGTTGGATGAGTTCCTGTGGAGAGAATTTCCTGGGAAGGCAGGCCTGGGGTATCTGGCCCCTCTGATCAATCAGCTCTCTGGAAGGGCTGTGAAAGTCATAGTACAGCCAAGAGTCTGTGACAGCTCCAGGCCCTGCTCTTGGGTAGGAAGAGATGTAATCATGAATGCTTCAGGATACTCTATGGATCTCGACGACACAGAAACATGAGGCTTTGATCCTAACTGGCCCACTGAAGGAATGAATATGAGGCTAACCCAAGAAACGTAAGACCTTACTTACCACCAAGCCTGCCCCACATCCCAGATCCAATTCAGCAGTGGACGAGAGCCAGAGCATGAAGTGGCCTGGCATGATTGGTCCACCTTTGCCAGGGAAAGATATCTGCTTTCAAAAGAGCCTCTTGTGACCCAGCTGTGGTCACTAAAGCACAGGTAGGCTCAGAGCCATTACCCATCAAGTGGAACACAGCCACCCAAGGTTAAATAAAATGGGGTATACAGAAGGAAACTACAACTCAATATTGAGTTGTTGAACAGACATCCATACAGTGCTTAATAAATGCCAGGGCTCTTTCAGAGAACTTTTCAAACATTAGAATCTTCAAAATAACCCCATAGTAATGATGATAGTGAGAGTAACTATCTGCATTAACCAAGCATCTACATCACGGCAGCCACCGTGCAAAGTGCTGGACATACATTAGGGACTCGTGTGCTAGTGCCTGGTGCTTTGTTTCCCCTCTGCTGTTTTCACTGTCATTTACTGAGGACCGACTGTATGCGAGACTTTATTCTACAGACTTTATGTTGATTACCTCTTTATCCCATGAATCTTGACATGAGCAATAGTATAACAACGGCTAATATTTATATATTCTGTGCCAAGAGCCTTATCTCATTTAATCCTCCTATGACACAGGTGCTGTGAACATCTCCATTTTGCAGATAAGGAAACCAAGACACAGAGGGCGAAGGGACTTACCCCAGTTCAACCAGGATTCCAGAGCACACTGCCACTCCCCAATGCCACTTTCTGCTCAGGTGCATCTTTATTAAGCTAGGTAGCACATAGTTCTCATTTGGGGGGAAAACCGAGATACCAGATTCCTGGTTTCAGGTCCCCCACCACCCCAGCCCCGCTGGCCTCAGAGTCCAGACTACTTGTCTTCTAATTCCAAACACCTGGAGTCATTCTCATGATCTGCTAACAGGTGGATCCCAGGAGCTCAGAGACAAGGCAGCTTACCGAATTCAGACTGCATGCCAGGGTAGATGATCCTGAACACATAATCTGTGGCCTCGTCATCTTCCTTGTCTGAAGACGTGGACTCAGCAGAACCCTGAGGGCTTCGCTTGCGCAGTTTGGGAAACACTTTGCCCTGAAAGAACGTGTTCCGTTGCACCATCCTTGGGATACACCCGTCTCCACAATCTGCACAGCTTGAGGGTTTCAGTGGGGTGTGTATGTGCCCATGAAGCCATGCAAGGACCCACAGGCAAGAATGACTATACCCCCAGGCACCTGGGTGGCTCAGTTGGTTAAGCATCTGACTCTTGATTCAGCTCTGGTCATGATCTCAGGATCGTTAGATCGAGCCCTGAGTTTTGGGCACAGACACTTGGTGTGGAGCCTACTTGGGATTCTCCTTCTCGCCACCCCCCACTCTACGTGCACATGTGCACCTTCACTTTCTCTCTCAAAAATAGAATGACCACTCCCCATGGCTGACCCATACCCCAGCCTCCCTGGGTCCCCCAGGATCACTCACCTTCCCCCGCTGAGACCAGAGTGGAGGGTCCAGCTGCCCATGAGGGAGCAGCCCATTTTCTAGGCATGAAAGGAACTGCAGGAGGTGCCCTCCCTTGGGGAAGCGGAAGGGCGGCCTCTGGATCCCATCCTGGCTGACCAACACCACTGTCCCGCCGCTGTCCACTGCCACCACAACCCAGCCAGAGAAGACCCAGTGGGAAGTCACTATGAGGTATGGCGATGGGGCCCTCCCAGCAAACACATCCCCCCAGGCATGCCAAGCTAGACCCATGGATCTCCTCCAAGCTCTGGGAAAGACCTGGGCAGAAGGTCAGGGACTGTTTTAACCTCTCCTGAGCCTCTTCCATCCTACGTGCCACGGAGTGTGGCTAGCTAGCTTCTGTGAAGTCACCCACCAAAGGGAAATGAGGCCCACAAACATCCAATGCCTCCCAAGCACCCTCTATGAATTAACCTGACCTATTCTTGTATGGAGGCTTTCAGACCTATTCCTTCTCAGGGCAGTAGCTGACTTGCTGGCACATACTGAGCACTTACTGTATGTAAACAAAGCACTTTTAAGGCAGTGTCTTATTGGAATCCTCAAAACAGCTCTATGAGGTAGATCTATTATTGTCTATTTTACAAATGATGAAACCAAGGCTCAGAGAGGCTATGTAACTTGCCCAGAGCCACATAGGGCTTGGATAGACCCAAGTAGGGCTTGGATCTGTCTCATTAAATACGCTTAATGTTTTATGCCTTGATGGGGCACAGATCTCTTGCTTTCTACAGCAGGATGGTCTTCTACTTGTTCTGAACATACCTGCTTTGAGCTTTCAAGGAGAAATCTAGTTATTAATCCCAGATCTCCAGAGCACCGGCATTGGAATGACAAAGACCTGATTTTGAGCCCAAACTCTGGAGCTTAACAAGCTGTGTGACTTTGTGCCAAGCTGTTTAGAGCCCTGCTTGGCACATCATAAGTGCTCAATTAGGTGTCAGCAACTAACACCATGGGATTGATGCAGAGGCCTTAACATATGTCATATGTTTACAATAATGCCATGAAAAGGTGCTATTGTGATTCCACTTTACAGATAGGGAACTGAGGCTCAGAAGGGAGAAGTCACTTGTTTGAGGCCGTGCAAGTAGTAAGGAGGTGCGGCTGTGCAGGGGAGCCAGGAGAACACCCCAGCCCCATGCTCCCCCCACCCTCCGCAGTCCCTACCTTGCTGGTGGCAGTGCAGGTACACAATCTCTTCCAGGCGGATGGTCATGGCATAGTCCCAGTAGACGCTGGAAGGGGAGGGATGGTTAGGTCCACAGGATGCTGGCTCTTGGGGAAGGGCTCAGGAGGCCAGAAGACCACACCCATGGGTTCCTGCACCCTTCTCGCTAGGAACCATCTGTCCCCAACACTGGTATTCCAGGCTTCTCAGAATCTACCTCCCCTTCTTCTGGTCCCAGCACCCCACTTTTCTAAGGAACACTCTTTCTTACCCCCAGTCCATGTGACTGAGGCTAACCCCACCCAACCTCTAAGCCACGATTCCAGGAATGGCCATCTGACGCTGGCCTGGCTGCTCAGCATATTCCACCGTTCTAGCCACAGTAATTGGCTCAGGGATGGCCCCCAGCCCAAGCAGAACCAGGGAGGCTCAATTGTTGGATTTATGTTAGAATAAACTGGGAAAAAGATGCTCCTTTCTGCTAGGGGAGTAAGGGCAAAGATGATAGAAATGGAGGGAGCCATGGCAAGAAAAGCCTGCCTGATGATGGTGTCAACAGGCAGGAAAGCAGAACCAAGAGATGGAAAGAGTTCAGGTCCTCATCATTTGAGTCCCTGGATCCAGCCATGCCTGAAGCCACTACTCCCAGAATTTTTCAGCTCATGGGAGCCAGTGTCTAAGTCAACCTGAGTTTGGTTTCCTGTCACCGGTATCTAAGAGTCTTGACTCAGACCCCAACACCAGGCCACCGTGAATCCATGTGGTTAGAAGAGCCACTCAACAGCCTTGACTTCACAGGTCCTAGCAGCATGACTTATGAAGGCCTCTATGAGTCTCAGTTTCCTCCTCTGTAAAATGGGGGTGATGATTATCCACCATATAGCACTGCTGTGCTGATTATATGGAATCATGTATTTGAAGGGCTCGGTGCTGATACATAAAAAAAGTCCTTGGTTAATGGTCTCTGTGCTTACATACTTAAGGTTTTCCCTTTCTAGCTCAAAGGCCACTGCACTCCCTAAACAGATCGTTTTTCCCCCAGAACACCATGGAGGTGGGGCTCAGAGAAACCAGGGCTTTGTAGCAGTCAGGAGAAGGCATTGCACAGGTGTCCTTCAGATCCTGCTGTAGGGAGCAGAGCTGACCAACAGCTTCAGAGGCTGCTCCCCACGTCCCCAGATCCACCATGTTTGCACCAAGGCCATGCTTCTCTTGGGCTGCTCTCAGCCAGGACTGAGCACATGGGAGTGCCAGTGTGCGTCTGTTCCTCCAGGATGGGACAGAGGTGGGGTGGGGGGGCTCCTCTTATGGCCAGGTTTAGCCCAGGGACTCCCAATTGGTCTGGCTGAACACTCTAAGAACTGCAGTGTCTGAGACTCTTCCTACCCCTTCTTTCTTTCCTCTCCCTGTTCAGAGAGGTCAGACCAGGTTCATGGTCACTCATATAAGGTGCCACTCACACTACATCTCTCTTGCATGTCTGTCGGCATCTGTTTCTTGATGGACCCGAACCAACACAGGCTTTAAGGTCAGACTTCAAACCCCACTTCCACCAACTATACTGAATCAGTCCCCTCTCCTCTATGGGCCTCAGTTTTCCTAGCTGTCACATGAGGACATTGGAACAGAAGCTCCCTAAGGGACCTTCCTGCACTGGTCTGCACTAGTCAGCCTTGCCAGGATCCGTGTGGTGAACGTTCTTGGAGGGCAGCCAAGCACACAAGTGTGTTCAGAGGAGCAGCTTCTGCAGAGTCCCTCACATGGGAGTCTTGGCCAGGTGGTCCTTCTCTGGGCTCCCACACTGTGCTCATCACCTAGGTAGGGCTGCAATTGCCTGTTTTCTCCGGTCTTCCCGAGAGGTGCTGAACTGGACAGCAACTGGGCTTTTCGTTCATTTCTACAAGATGTTCAGAGAGTATTTAGTAGGAGGAAATGCTAAATGCAGAGCAACTTTCCAACTACCACCAGACACCAAGCGGAGGAGCTGTGGCCACAGTCCCTTTGGAGCTGTGTAACTTGACACCAACCTCCAGGTTCCAGCCTCCCTGCTAAGAGCTTTACCCTGCATCTTATCTTTTCTTTTCTTTCTTTCTTTCTTTCTTTTTCTTTCTTTCTTTCTTTCTTTCTTTCTTTCTTTCTTTCTTTCTTTCTTTCTTTCTTTCTCTTTCTTTCTTTCTTTTTTCTCCTTCCTTTTTTTTTTTTTATAAATTAATTTTTATTGGTGTTCAATTTACCAACATACAGAATAACACCCAGTGCTCATCCCGTCAAGTGTCCTGGAGATCGAGGATCAAGTTCCACATCGGGCTCCTGCAGGGGGCCTGCTTCTCCCTTTGCCTGTGTCTCTGTCGACCCCCCCTCCCCCGTCATGACTAAATAAATAAGTAAAGAAGGAAGGAAGGAAGGAAGGAAGGAAGGAAGGAAGGAAGGAGAAAAAAGGGTGACGGGCACGGAGGGGGACACTTTTTTCTCCTTCCTTCCTTCCTTCCTTCCTTCCTTCCTTCCTTCCTTCCTTCTTTACTTATTTATTTAGTCATGACGGGGGAGGGGGGGTCGACAGAGACACAGGCAAAGGGAGAAGCAGGCCCCCTGCAGGAGCCCGATGTGGAACTTGATCCTCGATCTCCAGGATCATACCCTGGGCTGAAGGCGGCACTAAACCGCTGGGCTACCAGGGCTGCCCTACCCTGTATTTTCTTATTGACTCTTGCCTGTATGTCTGTTTGGAGGTTCTGTGACCACATCCCCATTTTACATCAGATGAACAAACTGAGGCTCTGGGAGGTGAAGCTGACTGTCCAAGATCACTTGACTGGGAATGAGCAAAAGCTGGACTTCTGTTTCCATTTTACATGTTTTAATAGCTTCCTAGGGACAGCTGGGTGGTTCAGTGGTTGAGTGTCTGCCTTCAGCTCAGGGTGTGGTCCTGGGGTCCTGGGATTGAGTCCCACATCGGGCTCCCTGCATGGGGCCTGCTTCTCCCTCTGCCTGTGACTCTGCTTCTCTCTCTAGGTCTCTCATGAATAAATAAATAAAATCTTAAAAAAAAAAAAAAAACAGCTTCCTAGAGTAGAACTGCTGGGTCACATGGTAAGGGTAGGTCATAAGAAGCTTCCATGTGTATTATGCAGCAAATAAAAATGATGCTATTAAAAAAAAAGAAAGAAAGAAAGGAAAGGAAACTTCCAGACTTGTTTGTGACGTGGTTGTACCATCAGCGGGGTGGGGGGGGATGGGCAGTTCCAGCTGCTGCTCCACATGGCAGGGCTGACATCTGAGCCAAGCACAGCTTGATTCTTGAACCCAAATAATGACTCTTTGGTGATATTTCCTCACCTATCCTAGGAAAGTCGGCTGAGGAGTTCTGATCTTGGTTGTACAAGAAGGGTGCTGGCTGGGACAAGAGAAGAGGTACTGAAGCTCCTTAGATAAAGACCACATCCCTTCTCTTCATTGTCTCTTGGTCCCTAAAGAGACACTGGAGCCCCTGGGCACTCCCATTTCCTACACGCTAACTTCCATGTTTCTGACCCCCACTTTTTTCTCTTTCACTGAGCTCTGGGTTCCAGGCAGGAATAACAAAGATAGATAGGGGTTCAGAGCCCAGGGCTGGGGAAGTCTCAGAGCAGTGACCTTGAAAGTGCAGACTCAGCTGGAATCAAAGATCGATGTGCCTAGGATGTGCCTATTCACAGAAGAAAAGATGATGCAGAAAGAGAGTCCCTAGTGATCTGAGTTGGAGGGAGTCGGCAGGGGGCAGCTGCTGGGCAATCATTTGATTCAAGCCTTCTCCAAAACATTAGCATTAAAAGTTTCTGCCCATATAACCCTGGGCTTAAGTCCAACCAACAAGCAGGGTCCATGGACTGTGATGTTTGACAGGAGACACTTCCATGTATGGGTAACCCCTGCAAACCCTTTGGGAATCCTTTAAGTTCTGGGGAGGTCACTTGTCCAGCCCCCTCATTTGATAGAAGCTGGGGAACTGGGACACCTGGGTGGCTCAGGTGGTTGAGCATCTGCCTTTGACTCAGGGTATGATCCTGGGATCTGGAATCAAGTCCCACATGGGGCTCCTTGCAGGGAGCCTGCTTCTCCCTCTGCCTGTGTCTCTGTCTCTCTCTCTGTGTCTCTCATGAACAAATAAATAAATAATTAAAAAAAAAAAGCTGGGGAACTGAGGCCCAGAGATAGGGAGGGACATACCCCAAGTCACACAGCAAGACGAGGACCAAGGAAACACTTGGTACGATAACATACATTTATCCATTTACCTGCCTACTCGTTTTCTGTCAGGTATAAGGTAAATATAGTATAAGCTCTGAAAAGGTAAAGATTATCCTCTCCTTTTCTGAATGTTCTCTCTCTCTTGTATTTAGCATAGTGCCTAGCACACTGTGTTAATATCTGATGCTGCTCCGTTAATATGTGATGAATGAGGGGTGCCTGGGTGGCTCAGTCAGTTAAGCATCTCCCTTCGGCTTGACCCCTGATGTCCTGGGATTGAGCCCCAATCAGGCTCCCTGCCCAATGGGGGAGTCTGCTTCTCCCTCTGCCCCAACCCCCACCTCAAATAAATAAATAAAAAATCTTAGAAAAAAAAATCTGACAAATGAAACCAGGTCCCCTGACTTCCCTGCTCCATTTCACAGAGGTTATCCAAGCACCTATACTTTGTGCTAGGATTGGTGGCAGGTGCTGGAGAGAAGATATGAGCAAGGAAGATTCCTTGCTTCCATGGAACTGAGGTGTAGAAGGCAATAGCTGGTATACACTTGGGCACAGATTTATTATTAGACTTATTAAATGCTAGAAGGAGATTCAGAGCTCCCTGTGATCCAAAATCAGCTGGGAGGCTCCGGGTTTAAGATGAACAGGCTGAAATAATGTCCTGGGCCCAGGGCATCTCCTTGGACCCACACTGCTCCTTGGGGAGGGTTTCTTGATCAGAAACTCTGGAGTCTGGCTGGAGCTTAGTTATGTGGCCCAGCCTACAACTGACTGTACCTCCCACTGACGGTCTCTGAAGATAGATGGCCACCTCTGCGTGAGAAGTGGCCAGCTTGGAGAATCCCATTCATCACATCACGGCCTGGGGTTACTCACACCAAAGCTTAACACGAAACAGAACACAATAATGGTATTCTACTTATGTTCCTTGAAAAGAGCCCTTATTTTATATAGAGCTGCCAAGACTCCTCAAGCTGAACTAATCAGGCCGGCTGCACTCTGCACAGTGTCTTCTCTTTGTTTGCATTCCTTCTAGGGCCTTCTCTAACTGTCCTGGGACATGGGGTTGCAGCAGGGAATCCCTGGTTTCTGAATTTCTTCAAAGCATGACACCAAAGCCTTTGCTGAGCCTTATAAATTGCGGGATATCACAAGGAGATGCATTCCTGGCCCAGATGCCCACCAAACAACACCTGCTTTCCTTCTTTACTGAGTGATGGGAAAGAAGGCAGCAGATCTGGGAATATTTGCCATTGGCGGGCTTCCAAGATCTTCTGTTAAGATTTCTCCCACCAGGGTGGCATTTGGACCATGGTTTGCCTAACTCCCATACCCTAGGATTCTTCTAGTTGGTTTCTAAATCCTCCCAATGAGTTACCCATAAGGCTACAGCTGCAGGGAGGCTGGGCCAAGAAGCTGCAACAACCAGACAGGGCAGCAGGCCAAGGGCAGGGCACAAGGAGTGCACAGAGCACAAACGTCCCCATGTCCAGGGTAGGAGAGGGACCCGGCACCCTACCTCCTCTCATAGTCCAGGTCCCCCATTGACCCATTCATCAGCTGGTTAGGCGTCCATTTCAAGGTCATGATGTCAGCTGTCTGGTGCAGGGACAGGTACCCTGGCACAGCCTCCATATCATCCCTCTGCAGAAAGATGGCGTAGGCTCAGTCAAAGCGCGAGAGTCACAGTGATCATGGGCCCTGACCCACCTGACTCGGGATGCATAACCAGAACCAAGAGGTTGGGTCACGCCTTCCAAGGCCATGGCAATTTGGAAGATCCTGAACCTCCCTCCAGGTGGCCATGTTAAGCAAAGCAGTTTGTAACCAACCACCCAGGATGCGTTCTAGAGATCCAGCTATCAAAGCTGGCCCCATCCCCATACATACTTTCACACTCACACTTCCCTCCGCAAGCATGGTTCAGGGGTCCTACTGCAAAGGTGGGGCTCATGGGTCTTTAGAATCTGGAAGAGGTTCTACCCCTCTTCAACACCACCCTCTCCTTAACAGAAGGCATTTATCTGGCATCATTTTTGGCCAGTCTTAAGGGAGAAAAAGAGGGCAGCTAGAGCCCTATGCCCACTCCACAAACATTTTCCAGAATCTCCCTCCCCAAATACCCACACCATGCTCCCTGCCCAGCAGCCTGACCTTGTCTTCCCAATTAGCCTGCAGAGCTTCTCACCTGCTCACTCTGCTTTACCCCAAGTGGGGTTTGAGGGAGGGGGCTATCCCTGAGCCTCACACACAGAGGAGGAAATTTCTCCACCAAATTCAACCAAACAACACGTGGGGATGGACAGTTGACATTTCCTGAGCACCTAGTGTGTACCGAGCATAGCTCAGCTTCACACGCATGGTCTCCATTTAACTACACAGGTAGTTAATGGGGTTAACCACACAGGTGGTTAATGGTTAATGCTGGAGCACCAAAGCCTTATTTCATGAATGTTTTTCACATTTTAATGTACCCAAAATGGGGATGCATCTGATAATGGCATCTCATGATCATGACATAGCGGTCACCGCCTGCTCTCATGCAAACTCAGGCCAAGTTGTTCAGATGTTACTATTCCAATTCAGATTTGAACGTGGCTGTTCCTTCACATGTGGAATACAGGTGCGATTTTAAATGTCTTCAAAAAGATGAGACTGATTCATCTTTGAATCAAAAAGGGATTGTGCGTGCAGAAAAGCTGGCAACAGAACAAGAGAGCACTGATGTGATACTGGCAAAGCAGACACACTATTCACTGCTGCACGGATGCCCACAATTCCAGATTGTCTTGCAAAACAACAACCGAGTGCACACGTTTGCAAGAAATGCTGTACCTCTGGCACTCTTCATCAGAGGTCAGCATATTTTCTACAAAGGGTCAGATAGGGAATAATTCTGGCACCGTGATCCATACAGGCTCAGTTGCAACCAGTCAACTCTCCGTTATAACCTGAAAGCAGCCATACACGATATGTAATGGGCATGGCTGGGTTACAATGAAATTTTATTTGCAAAAACAGGTAGAGCACTGCATTTGGCCAGTGGGCTACACAGTTTGCTGACTCTTCCTTATGATGAAACAGAAAACAGTATTTGGTGGAAAAATATACTGATGTCTCTATGTCAAAAAGTGATATGAAGATTAAACCCTAAAATGTGAAGTTTTAGGACTAGCTTAACTAATGAATATCAATTATATGTTCCCTTGTGTGTAGTTACAAGTATAATATACAATTTAAAAAAGTGTATCCAGATATATCTCAAAGAGCTCTTTCAAAAAATGTAAAACAAAATTTCCAAGTACTGAGAAAACATTTAATCTAACTTAATAGTAGTTTTTTACTTCCTGACAGTTATGTTAAAAAAATGGGATGTCTTAAATTCACAGCTTCTTAGATCTGAGGAAGTAAGATCTTATACCCACTATGATATGGATACTAAGGTTCAGAGAGAGAAGTGACTCACTCAGGGCCACCCAATGACCACAACTGTCACTGGAGAGCTGGAGAGGCCAACAGTTCTCCCTCTGCTTCCTCCCAACTGAGTCCAAATACCACACTGATCCAGGTGGTCTTAGGAAGGGAACAGCAAAGGAGTTATCTATTGGGTGAGGGCAGGAGCTTTGTGTGCCTTGCTCACCACCCATCCCTGAGAGCTGGATGAGCGCTGAGGCATAGAAGGTGACTGATGAATGACATAGACTCTCACACTGGGCAGCCTGAATTTGCCCCTTACTCCCCCACCACACACACTTCAGTGTTATCACCTTTGAGTATACTACTTGCCTGAAATGGTTGTTGTGAGCTTAAATTGAGTTAATACAATTAAAAGCACTTAGCATGGTGCCTGACATATCCAGGGAGCACTCAATAAATATTAACCATGAAGACATTTATCTTGATGTCCTCAGCATCTAGTGCATGCAAAGTCCAGTATAAGTATTTGCTGAATGAGTGAGTTATAATGGGAGAGAATGGACGGATAGGCAGCTAGGTGGACAGGTGGGCAGAGAAATGGACTGGAAAATAAATGACACAGATGGATGGATGTATGAGTGGATCTATGTGGATGTATGTAAAGATGGGTGGGTGGATGGATGGACAGACATGTAGAAATGGGTAGATGGATAGAAGAATGAACGGGTAAGTAGATGGATGGATGGAAGATGGGTAGATAGGTGGGTGGGTGGATGGATGGATGGATGGATGGATGACTGGTTGGATGCAAACATGGATGAATGGATGAATAGTTGGATGGATAGATAGATGAATGGATAGATATAAAAATGGGTGGAGGGATGGATGGATGGATGGATGAAAGATAGGGGATAGATGCATGGATGAATGGATGGATAGATAGAAGGAAATGTCATATGGATGAATGGATGGACAGATGGGAGTATTGGCAGATGAATGAAGAGATGGATATGTGGGTAGATGGATGGATGAATGGATAAGCAATCTAGAGCCAGAGGGAACTCTTTCTCTATAACCTGAAGACAGACCCCCCGTGGAAGATCTGGGCCCAAGATCTCTCTCACCGGCTGAACCAGAACATTGTTCTTGCCATAGAGCAGCGTGGCCCGGGAGTTCTGGTGCAGGGACTCTACATAGTCACGGGCAGAAAGGGATGGTCGATCATCCATGCTGCCACTCGAATGCCTCTTCTGGATCTGGCATGTGGAAAGGAGGTGCAGGATGAGGCCTGGGTGACCCTCAGCATCCCACTCATTCCCCAACTACATATCAAGTTTGGAACCCAGCCTACCTCCCTCCCAGGGCCCCGCAATTCACCCCTACTCACACAGAGGGCTGGACGCTTTGTGGGTGAGTCCTGTCGCAGGTGCGAGCTATGGATGCGGTGCCTCTGGACGAGCTCATCAGCAGAGGGATCAGTCCAGAAGTGATCTGCAGTCTTCATCTTGGTATACTCCAGAGCACAGGGCCCCACTGTGAAGCATACAGGGGCTGGGAATCCATAGCCCTAGAAAGTCTACCCACTCAGCTACCCCAAGATGGGCCAGCATTTTCACCACCTCTCCCCTCCAGCTGGTGAGTATGCCTCAGGGTCCTTCCAAGGAGAGGCCAGCATTGAGACCTGAGGAGCAGGGAATAGGGAGGTTTGGATGGAGGAGGCTGGAGGGGGATGAAAGAAGCCCTTCGGATGCACCAGTGAGCTGAGACCAGAGATCCAGATGAAGCTCAGAGCACTGGACCACTTACCCAACAAAGATGCAAGGATGGGGCCATCCACCGGGTCCATTAGGAGGGCTTCCTTCTCATAGTATTTACTATCAAGAGAAAAGGACAAGTCCGTTTAGATGGCAACCAGCAGAGGGCCCACAATGGCCTGTGACCTGACGGTTAAGCGCCAACTGCCTTAGGTTCCCTTCTTGTCACCCCGTTATCTCAGATGTCCCATCTGCAAAATTGGTGTAATAAAATTATACCTCCTAGGACTTTTGGGAGAGACGACAGATGTGAGGTACTTACTTAGCTGTGCTTGGCACATAACCACAGAATACATGGCTATGATAAAGCCTTAATGAGAGTAATAGAAATAATAATTAGAAGTTTGCTCCAGGCTGGTTCTATCCACTTCTACTGCATCTTCCGCTTCAGATGGCAAGTAGCTTAGGGGCTCAGATGAGGTCTACCCTTCTAAAATTATTGAGGCAACAAGATGCTTTTTAGCTGTGGCATGTCCTGAAAAGCTGTATTAACAGGACTTCCTGCCCAGACAACTCATGCCTCATGTGTTCAAAAGCGCCCCCTGGCTTCTGGGTCTTCAAAATAACTTGTGTTGTGGGGCAGTAAGATGTTTGGGCTGTTTTTGGTTTTTGTTTCTTTGTCTGAGTTGCTGTGTAGTGGCTTCTAATTCTCTGCAAACCCATACAATCTAGAAACAGAATACTAGAGTCGGAAAAGACTTTGTTCTACCCTCCTGAGGGATCTCAGGCTCAGAGAGGGTAAGTGACTCGCGGGAAGCCACACAGCAGGTGGATGTAGGCTACACCCAGTCAGCCTGGCTCTTCCTGTCCTACAGGAGGGCATGAAGAATACAGGGTGAGGAGTGAGACACATTGAGTAGGAGCCTAGCTTGGGCATTTCCATCCTCGCTATGTGTCCCTGGGTAGGTGACTACCTTCTCTCAGCTGCAGTGACCTCTGCTGTAAAATGGGAAGAAATAACAGAATTCACCTGCCAAGCTGGTTGGGAGGATTATATGCTGAGCTGCTTGTACAGCAATAGCGCAGGCTCTACCACCAGGAAGTTCTCACCAAATCGTGGCAACTTCCGTGTATTTTTGCCCCAAAGGAACCTTCTATCCGCCAGAATATTGGCTGAAGCAGAACTGATGTGCTCTGTATGTGTTCAGCAACAAGTTTATAGATTTGGCATCCTATCTGAAGATAAGGCTTCGAGGAACTTTCCACTCTGCCGCTCAGTTTCCATTCCAAAAATCAGCACAGTTACCTGATCATAAACCTTGGAAATCCTGCCTTCAAAAATAGCAAGTAGGATTGGGAGCAAGATGAAGGGTAGCCCAAGGGAGCTTCTTTGGGGTGACAGGTTTTGCTGGAACAGTTCTGTGTCCTGACTGTGGTGTCAGTTATACAAAACTATATGTGTATGTTAAAATTCCACAGAATTATGCAGAAAAGGGACACCTGGGTGGCTCAGAGGTTGGGCATCTGCCTTTGGCTCAGGACACCACAGATCCTGGGGTCATGGGGCCTTTTTTTTTTTTTTTTTGTATATATTTTTTCTGGAGTTCGATTTCCCAACGTATAGTAAAACACCCAGTGCTCATCCTGTCAACTGCCCCCCTCAGTGTCCATCACCCAGTCACCCTACCGGTCCTGGGATCTACTCCCACATCGGCTCCCTGCATTGGGCCTGCTTCTCTCTCTGTGTCTCTGCCTTTCTCTCTGTGTCTCTCAAAGATAAATAAAATCTTTTTAAAAAAGTATACAGGAAAAAAAATGGCCATATGTAAAAACTAGTGAAATCCAAATAAAGTTTGTCCTTCAGTTAACAGTATTGTACCAATCGCAATTTCCTGTTTTGATGCTTGTACTATGGTTATGCA